CTATTTGCCCTTTGCTTCAACTCCCTCCTCTTGTTACTGTATGGCTCCCTCACTCAGGCAGCTGAGGACCAGCTGCTATAATGTTGAGAGAATGGCATCTCACACCTGTTTCATAGTGCTGAGAACTTTCTTTATGTGAATAGCGTGTGATTCCCATCATAAATATGGATTTACTAACAATGGATCTCAATGTTGTGGTTAGTTCTAGTTAACACTGCTGCTTTGTACTTGGGGAGCAGTTGCTATCCTCCATGTGAACAGTAGGTGATGCTGGGAAATAACAAATGCCTACAGTGCCTGTGAGGATGCAGTAGTCCTCACTGACAGTGATGTAGTTGACCTTCTCAGAACTGCTATCCATCACACACTTTATTGGGTTCACTCATCTTCTCTCTTAATTTGATTGATTGTGCATTGTAGAATCCAATGATAGCTGCAGAGAAAGACACAGACTGTCGGAGATATTCATTTCAGCAATCAAAATGATTATACAACCCTTTATTCAGCCTCTGTGTTTGGAATTGGGTGTTGTGTGATTGGGAACTAGGAGTTGACTGGTGGAGTTGCTGCCAACTTCTTACAACATATCAAATTGTTTCCACCCAGCATGATGTTGTAATACAGCACAACTCCAGTGGTATGGTAAGCTGGCTTTCTTCTCATCACAGTAGAAAAAGCTTCATTCTGGCTTCAACTTACCTCGTCAAAAGCTGCCGTTTTCTGTGCCACAAATGTACGATCCTGGTTCTGGCCTGTACATGAAACAGTTGGCACTTGGCAGTGGAACCAGAGTTCAGTTGGCACATTTCTTGGCAGTGGAGCTGGAACCAGAGCCAGGCTGTGTTCTCCTTGGCCTCTGCCTGGCTTTGGGCTGGCCAGGGCTGGATCTGGAGCTCAGCCTCTCTCAGCTTCCCTGGTTCTCTGTCTCCCAGGCCCTCTTCCTCTCTTCCCTGGCTCCGTCTCTCTCTGCCTCTACCTCCTTGGACTGTGCGGCCTCTCAGCCGTCTTCCTCCTGGCCTCTCGCAGTCTCTCCGGCAATCGATCACCTCTCTCTGCCAACCTTAATTAGCGTTGACAGATCTGTTGCTTGTTTGTCTGTGCAATAGACTCATGGGTTAGTTAATCTATTGATTAATCCAGGAGGAGATATGAAGGAGAGGCATGTTGTAATCTACTATTGATGAAAAGATGAAAGAGTACAGATGGAGTTAAATAAATCAAACTGGGAACAAAGGTGCTGTGTATGCCATGATGGTATGTAAAGGAAGGAATTCCTCAGCTAACAACTCTTTGGTGAACTTCCTAAAGGGAGATTGTCTAAATGTAGTTTGGGAGTAACAGATAGTTCTGACATCTCCTTATCTTTTTGGGGGTTTTCAGGCTTTGATGAGGTTGGCTACAATTGAATATTTCTGTATAATTTCACCTGCTTTCACTGAGGTTGTAAACATGAGTGTCAAACTGAGACAGACGAAACAACAGTATTCTGACGCATTACCATCGAACTGTCATGCGGACCGTTGAACCAGTATATTTCTGTAAATTCCTGACGTGTGTGTTCTGTGCTTGTACTGAACTGTTTGTACTGTGATGTACAGAGCTGGCTTCCCTCTGTGGCACTCTCTCTATGGCACTGAGTCCTGGCTCCATTATCACGGCAGGTTGTCAAATCAGGAACGTTTATGCCCCAATCACTCTGGAGAAATAACCGCAGTGTGCAAGTGCATAAAGCTCCCTCACTGTGAGTTCAAACAAAGAATAAACTCTTTCCTCCCTGCAAGTGTCAGGTGACTGTTTGTTAGTTTGGGACCTGTTCTGGGTTAAATTGGCTGTGAATTTAGGGTAACGACTTCACAAGGCAATTATGTCTCCGTCTCCGCCCCTATCATTTGGTGTGTGTGTTTGTGTACCGTGTGTGCATGCATACATACCCTAGATCTCTGCATATCTGTTGTGTTAAATATCCTCACGGTAGATATGGTAGTTCTGGTATTATGAAGTGATTAGTGACTGGTTATGATAGCATCTTAATCTGGTTTATGTGAGACTGCTATCAGGCTGAAGGGAAGGAAGGCTTTAAATAGATTATTCAGATTAAGATATCACAACGTTTAGGTGTATAAATAATTCTACGGATTACCTACCCAGGTGGAAGTAAAATGTATCAAGCTGCTCAAATGGGGTGGGCGGTCTAGTTTAGATCATCTCTCAGCTTTCTTGTAGTGTTCTATGGATACAGGGATAGGCTACATTTGTTTCATTCCGTGTCAAAATTCTAATTCAATTCAAATCACATGCTGTTGTCTTATATAGTCTGTTCCCATTTAGGATGTCTTTGTGTTGACAGTTGAACCAGCAAATAGGAGCATTGAGAAGTATTTGGCAATACCAGAGATGTGAGGGGAGTTTTTTATTAGGCCTGTGTACTGGTAAAGGGACAGTCAGGGAGGACAAGGGCAGCGAACGGGGCATTGAGAATAGTCTACGTATATATTCTTCTTTTGATGCTTATTAGTCATCAGTCTCTCCTGTATGGTGTGAATCTGACGGGTTCCAATGAATCACATCCTACTCTCCTCACGCACCTAGCTTTGACTTAGCCCCAAAAAGCAGGTTATTTTTTCTATACCATTTTTTTAGGTAGCTGTTTTCCCTGCATGATTATGGACTATGAATGACATGATTGTGTAGACTGACAGGCTAAATTACACCCTCTAACAAATGTCCTGGGGAGACAAACAACTGCAAAACAATATCTAGCTCTGGCACATGACTGCCTGCTTACACATTTATCATTGCTCAGTGAGCAGAAAGCGTGCGTGTTGTGCATGGGCAGCAGGGGGTACCTTTTGACATAAAGCCGGCTCTCTCCCCCACACTGTGGGGACAGAACAGCACACGCACACAGTGGCCCCGTGTCAGAGTAAACAGAGGGATGAAAGAGGAGAGGATGAGGGGCGCGTGGGAACGAGAGCACCCCAGGGTAGATGAGTGGCACGGAGGTGGAGAGGCACAGTGAGGTGTAGCACGCTAAGGTACTGCTGTAAACACCCTGTAACAACTCTCTTCTACCACTACAATAAGCCATTTAAGTGCCTTTTTAAGCTAGAATAAGCCATTTCCCTCTGTAATTTCTCTCATGCTGGGAACCAGGAACTGTATTTATGGAAGGAACATTTCTGTTCCGTAGTGCATCTGAGGAGGATGGGTTTTACTACGCTGACAGCTAACACCTTTATGTTCTTATCCCCAATACACTCATCTCTGGGCGTACATTTCCTTTAGATCCTGTATGAACAGGTCAGACTGACAGCACGACTCTGATAACCAATGTCCCCTCAGGGGGATCAATAAAGTTGATTCAATTCACCTCAATTCAATGACATGTACTGGTTTAAGAGACCTGTGCATGTCTGGAGCAGGTGGATGTTGTGCTCCTGTTCCACTCTACCCTCACCCCTCCTCACCATCCTCACCCCTTCCAGGGTATTGCTGTTATCAGTGAGGGCCAGACACTCCCCCCACCCCACCCCCTGATTGGGTGATTTGAGTTGCAGACCGTAGACATGATGATCGATCATACACACCCTGACTCTCACATATACACATACACCTGTCTGCCATGCGTATTAGTCAGAAATGCCATCTAAATCTCAGAACCGTTTAACATCAATATTTCAATCAAATACATTAAATTAAAACGTCATAAACCTTGTAGTTGTTCCACTTTAGAATGCAATCAGTCTCAGTAAGTCAGCAGGACCGGTAATGTAATGTGTCGTACCTCTTCTTGTGTGTCAGAAGGCAATGTGATTATGGAGAAGGGTAAGAAACCAAACCAACCATGTTATTTTAGATGAAAGGGAGAGGGAAAGGGGATACCTGGTCAGTTGTACAACTGGATGCATTCAACTGAAATGTGTCTTCCACATTTAACCCAACCCCTCTGAATCAGAGAGGTACGAACTGTATGAGCTTGTGCAAATTGCTCATTTTTATTTAGTTTAAGTGTGTTGGAGTCGTGAGGTTAAGTTTAGTTCACCAGTAGCTCCCGAAACAGTTTTTCTCCATAATCCTTCTGAAGCTCTCTTCCCATACTATCTGTTCCACAGGCCTCCTCAGAGGAGCTTGATATTCCGATGTGTCTTTTAGATAAGCAGAATCTCATTTCAACATGACCCTGTACAATGTAGAGGGTTGTGAAAATCCTATTGAAGTTACTGCACTCCTCTCCACCTCTTCTCCCCCTCCGTTCAGCGATGATTTAATTTCCTCCATTTATTATTGTCTCCCATAACGTCATTTAGAGCAGGGTCAGGCTCTGTGAAATATTACAAATGTGTTGACTTCACAGATATAACAGCAGGGAAGGAGAAGGCATCAATAAAGACAATACCATTTGACAGTTTGATATAACAGAATCCTCAACACTCCAAACAAGGATGCATCCTCATCACTAACCTTCTTATCCATTCACTGATCATTTTACGGTTGTTTTTAGATACTCCTATAGGTTAGAGATGAAAGGTTGAGGCAGCACAATGTGGAGGTGCCAGTCTCCTAGCTGAGATGTTGTTGGATCAACATTGATTGTATTGCAGGCCTGCAGTTGTATAATCTTCATCTTGAAGTCATGACTTCATAAGGCTCCTTCTTCAGTGAACTTAAACTGAACTTTGTCAGTGTTTTTTGTTGTTTGTTCCCCTGATGAAAAGGAACAAAGCAAAAACAAACTTTAGGGAACATTTGAGGAGTCAGTGAGGCATGAACATTTTAGAGTAAATCATTCAGTGTTTTCCAAATTCATTCCAAATAAATTTTCCATGCAGCTATGTGTCCTTGTCTCACGTCACACAATGCTTTTTATTATGATCTTCTCAAGCCAGCGTATCATTATGGAGATAAATCGAGCTGAAAAAGGTACAAACTGTCAGTTTTATCAGTTAGTTGTGTCTTACTTGTCTCTCTTCTCTTTGCATGGGTCTGTCTGTCTGCCTCAGACTTTGAATGGAGCCACTTCTGGTCGTGGAGTCGTTTCGTGGACTACATGCAGTGTGTGGTGGCGTTCACCCTGCTGGTGGCCTACATCACCTATCTGATGCTGGACTCCTCTGTGTTCGTAGAGACCCTGGGCTTCCTAGCTGTCTTCACTGAGGCCATGCTGGGGACGCCACAGCTCTATTGCAACTACCAGAACAAGAGTACTGAGGGGATGAGGTGAGGAAGTCACACACTACAGTCGCCATTCAGTTGTCTTCCCTTTCTCTCACTTGATATTCACTGTCTTTCATCCCATCTCTTGCTTCCTTACTCCTCGTATCCCAGCTGCTGAGCTTCAGTGGTTTATTATGAGATGACTTCAAACTGGTCTTCTCATTTTCATACCTGTGTATAAATGCACTCTCATTTATAGAACACTTAAACACTTGGATATGTAATTCACAGACCCGCCTGGTACTGACTTTAGTTCATTCAGTGAAAGGATTTTCACTAGAAGTGAAGATGTTCTTTGGTTTATATGATTTAAACTGATGACCTTGTTTTGAACAGGAAGCCTCCTTAGATTGTCTTTAATTTAACAACTTATTGGCTTTTTACTGCATTAATTCCCCCAGCGATTAAATCCTTAGGCAGGATTCACACTGAGACAATGAAATACATATAAAACTTAATCATCATCATTTAGTTTTAATTGAGGATATTTAGTAGTGTTCCCCGAGTTCAACACACATATGTACACAATTTATATAGTCACTGAATGATCACGCATCAGACTAATATGGGCTAAATAATACATCACTAAAAATAGAAAGATTGAGTAGCATAATGATTATCAAGGACACATAATAAGAAATATCCCTTTATAAAATAATGAATGGGTTAAGCCTAACCAAAGAACATGCCATTGCCATGCCAGTCAGGTCCAGAGATGGTTAATGACAACAGATTTGCATCCCAAATTGTACCTTATTCCCTATATAGTGCACTACATTTGACCAGGGCCCATTAGGGAAAAGGGTGCCATTTGGGACAACTGAGGCTAATGATGCTAAAGGCATGCTTCTGCTTTTCCATCACTTCCTGTTGTAATGACCTGTCAAAGCCAGGCGCAAGACCCCTCTAGCAGACAGTTACAAAACAGATCATTACTACAAGACAAAGAGGAGGGCGACTGGGGGCCATGGGTGAAACAACATGGCTGCTATAATGATGGATGTTGGGTGGGGGAAGAAATGATAGGGGATTCTGCTCTACAGGAAGTGGATGCTGATCTGTCTTGTCATGGTTTGATGGGAAATTAAGTTCAAAGTTGATGTAAATGTGGTCCTCCCTTTCTATAGCTACAGTACAGCTCCAAATCATGTATTTACTTCAAGGCTGTCAAGTCAACCCCATTTCTGGAGTGTGCACACACCTGTGCCTGGCTCTGTGCCTGTGTGTCCTGTCCCCAGAATAAACCGACTCCGTAAACAACAGATCTCAGTGTGACGTTATCTGCTCAGCAGTGGCTCTGCCTGTTGTGTCCTGCTCCCTTGCTCTCTGCCTGCTCTGCTCTGCTCTGCTCTGTTAGGTGTCTCTCCCACTGTTCTGTACCTGTTCCACCAGTTTATGGACTGAGGTTTATGGTAGGCTGTTGCTAGGTTACTTTACCTCTGCACTGGGTCCTGTATTTGAGAGTTCTGATTAGCTGAACGACCTTGAGGAGGAAATGTTTGTTTGTTCTAAAGCTCCATGGTCAAACTAAGCTCCATGGTCAAACTAAGCTCCATGGTCAAAGCAAGCTCCATGGTCAAAGACAATGAATTAATTTGAATTTGAGGCTGAATTATAGGCCTGTGTGAAGATGAAACTCTGTTCCACAGTAATTTACGAAACATTATGACAACCCTGCTGCATTTATCCCCTGTGGTCACCTTAGATGAGAGGTATTATATTGTGAATATTTCCTGGTGTGGTGATTTAGCGTGGGGTTGGTTTGACCAGTGGGTTTTGGAGACCGATGTACTTAGTGTGTGTGTGGCTCAGCCTCTCTGTGTGTAGAATTGATGGCACTTTCATCTAGGTGTGCTGGTATAATACCAGTCTCCAGCGGTGTGTGGGCGTCCATGCGTCTGTGTGTGTAGCAGGGCAGCAATGAACACAAACCGACGGGAGAAGTCGAACCAATGACGTTAATATGTCTATGAGTAGAACAGAGTGCATTTAGGTATTCTGTTGAAATACAGGTCCAATCACCACCCAGACCTCTCTTGTTAGTGTTGCTGCTGACAAAAGTTAGGCTTGAGCTCTACCAATGAAGCCTTCCCCAACACCCTCCTGGTTTGACTTGAATCTGTTTTCAGTGTCTTGCGTGGAGTGACTGGGGTGGGGGGAGCGAGGCGGGGGGAGACTGGGGTGGGAGGAGCGAGGCGGGGGGAGACTGGGGTGGGAGGAGCGAGGCGGGGGGAGACTGGGGTGGGAGGAGCGAGGCGGGGGGAGACTGGGGTGGGAGGAGCGAGGTGGGGGAGACTGGGGTGGGAGGAGCGAGGCGGGGGGAGACTGGGGTGGGAGGAGCGAGGCGGGGGGAGACTGGTGTGGGGGAGCGAGGCGGGGGGGTGGGGTGGGGGGAGCCAGGCGGGGGGAGACTGGGGGTGGGAGGAGCGAGGTGGGGGAGACTGGGGTGGGAGGAGCGAGGTGGGGGAGACTGGGGTGGGGGGTGCGAGGTGGGGGAGACTGAGGAGGGGGAGACTGGGGTGGGGGAGACTGGGGTGGGGTGAGCGAGGTGGGGGAGACTGGGGTGCTGGGCCCCTGGCCTGAGATAAAGGTAATGAAACATGGAGGGACAGGTTCTGCAGACCGCCTACTGACTGACTGCCCTTATAAGTCCTCACTGTAAGAGCTGTTTCACAAGGACAGATAACACTGAGGGACTTCCTTATTTAGCCTGCCGTCTGACTGTTGTTTGACCCAATAAATCAATTCAGTATACAAGTCTGTCTCTACATTCAACAACACTACATCACTACCTTGTCAGACTAGTCTATGACAACTTGTCTAAGCAGAAACAGACCCCTCCCCTCCCCTCCCCTCCTTGGGCTTTGGAGCTGCTGATTACCTGATGAAATGCAGAGCGTCTTCCATCCTCCACCACATTCGATACATACACGCTTTTTTACCTCCTGGTCAGTCTTCTGTAAGACTTTTTTACCTCCCAGGCATATTCTGACCCCCTCTATGACCTCCCAGCATTCTCTCTCAAGAGTGTTTTATCAGTCCTCCTGCTGAATGCCACCCTATTCCCTATATAGATGGGCCTTGGTCAAAAGTAGTGCACTGCATAGGGTGCCCTTTGGGGTGCAGACAGTCAGCAGAAGGACTGATAAAACCCTCAATCCAGCTCTCACATCATTACACACTGGGCTGGCCCAAACTGTATGTCAGCACTCAGAGAGAAAATAAAGAAATGTTGCTCCTCTTTCCAGGACTAACAAGCTTTGTACCCTGGAGGGGGAGGATGGAGGGAGGGAGAGAGAGAGAGGGAGGGAGAAGTAGGGAGGATGAGTAGATGCATGGTAAGGTTATTAAAAAGTGTGTTACAAATGAAAGGGCTAAATGGGAGGTGATGGTAGACACATGAATAATGTAGAAGATTTGACAGGTCTCACTCCTTCCTCTCCCCCTCCCCTCATCCTGTGGGTGCTAGCTAGCAGACAGCCTGAGACGGGGGCTGTGTTTGGGGTGAGTGGTGGACCTGTACCCTGTAAATCAGCCTGAAGACAATTACCTCCAATCCCTTCTGTATATCTGCTAAGTGGCTTCTGCTAGAGAATAGTATTTTTACTTTGAAGCCACCATTGTAGCCTCAATGCATCAAATATGTGTCAATTAATTTCACTTTACATTTTAGTCATTTAGGAGACGCTCTTATCCAGAGTGCATACATTATTTTTTTATTTTTCATACCCCCCGTGGGAAAGGTGTTCGATGGGGTTGCGGTCAGGGCTCTGTGCAGGCCAGTCAAGTTCTTCCACACCGATCTCGACAAACCATTTCTGTATAGACTTCGCTTTGTGCACGGGGGCATTGTCATGCTGAAACAGGAAAAGGGCCTTCCCCAAACTGTTGCCACAAAGTTGGAAGCACAGAATCGTCTAGAATGTCATTGTATGCTGTAGTGGTAAGATTTCCCTTCACTGGAACTAAGGGGCCTAGCCCAAACCATGAAAAACTATTATTATTATTATTATTATTATTATTATAAAAACAGCCCCAGACCATTATTCCTCCTCCATCAAACTTTACAGTTGGCATTATGCATTGGGGTAGGTAGCGTTTTCCTGGCATCCGCCAAACCCAGATTTGTCCGTCGGACTGCCAGATGGTGAAGCGTGATTCATCACTCCAGAGAACACATTTCCACTGCTCCAGAGTCCAATGGCGGCAAGTTTTACACCACTCCAGCTGACACTTGGTATAGCGCATTGTGATCTTAGGCTTGTGTGCAGCTGCTCGGCCATGGAAACCAATTTCATGAAGCTCCCGACGAACAGTTCTTGTGCTGACGTTGCTTCCAGAGGCAGTTTGGAACTCGGTAATGAGTGTTATGCACTTCAGCACTCGGCGGTCCCATTCTGTGAGCTTGTCTGGCCTACCACTTCGTGGCTGAGCCGTTGTTGCTCCTAGACGTTTCCACTTCATAATATTTATTTATTTTTATTTCACCTTTATTTAACCAGGTAAGCCAGTTGAGAACAAGTTCTCATTTACAACTGCGACCTGGCCAAGATAAAGCAAAGCAGTGCGATAAAAACAACAACACAGAGTTACATATGGGGTAAACAAAACATAAAGTCAAAAATACAACAGAAAATATATATACAGTGTGTGCGAATGTAGTAAGTTATGGAGGTAAGGCAATAAATAAAATAGGCCATAGTGCAAAAATAGTTACAATTTCATAATTAACACTGGAATGATAGATGTGCAAAAGATGATGTGCAAATAGAGATACTGGGGTGCAAATTAGCAAACTAAATAACAATATGGGGATGAGGTAGTTGGGTGGGCTAATTACAGAATGGCTGTGTACAGGTGCAGTGATCGGTAAGCTGCTCTGACAACTGACGCTTAAAGTTAGTGAGGGAGATAAGAGTCTCCAGCTTCAGAGATTTTTGCAGTTCGTTCCAGTCATTGGCAGCAGAGAACTGGAAGGAATGGCGGCCAAAGGAGGTGTTGGCTTTGGGGATGACCAGTGAGATATACCTGCTGGAGCGCAGACTACGGGTGGGTGTTGCTATGGTGACCAGTGAGCTAAGATAAGACAGGGATTTGCCTAGCAGTGATTTATAGATGACCTGGAGCCAGTGGGTTTGGCGACGAATATGTAGTGATTGCCAGCCAACAAGAGCGTACAGGTCACAATGGTGGGTAGTATATGGGGCTTTGGTGACAAAATGGATGGCACTGTGATAGACTACATCCAATTTGCTGAGTAGAGTGTTGGAGGCTATTTTGTAAATGACATCGCCGAAGTCAAGGATCGGTAGGATAGTCAGTTTTACGAGGGCATGTTTGGCAGCATGAGTGAAGGAGGCTTTGTTTGTGAAATAGGAAGCCGATTCTAGATCTAACTTTTGATTGGAGATGCTTAATGTGAGTCTGGAAGGAGAGTTTACAGTCTAACCAGACACCTAGGTATTTGTAGTTGTCCACATACTCTAGGTCAGACCCGCTGAGAGTAGTGATTCTAGTCGGGTGGGCGGGTGCAAGCAGCGTTCGGTTGAAGAGCATGCTTTTAGTTTTACTAGTGTTTAAGAGCAGTTGGAGGCTACGGAAGGAGTATTGTATGGCGTTGAAGCTCGTTTGGAGGTTTGTTAACACAGTGTCCAATGAAGGGCCAGGTGTATACAAAATGGGGTCGTCCGCATAGAGGTGGATCCGAGCGTCACCAGCAGCAAGAGCGACATCATTGATATACACAGAGAATAGAGTCGGCCCGAGAATTGAACCCTGTGGCACCTCCATAGAGACAGCCAGAGGTCCAGACAACAGACCCTCTGATTTGACACATTGAACTCTATCTGAGAAGTAGTTGGTGAACCAGGCGAGGCAGTCATTAGAGAAACCAAGGCTATTTAGTCTGCCAATAAGAATGCGGTGGTTGACAGAGTCGAAAGCCTTGGCCAGGTCGATGAAGACGGCTGCGCAGTACTGTCTTTTATCGATCGCGGTTCTAATATTGTTTAGGACCTTGAGCGTGGCTGAGGTGCACCCATGACCAGCTCGGAAACCGGATTGCATAGCGGAGAAGGTACGGTGGGATTCGAAATGGTCGGTGATCTGTTTGTTAACTTGGCTTTCAAATACTTTCGAAAGGCAGGGCAGGATGGATATAGGTCTGTAACAGTTTGGATCTAGAGTGTCACCCCCTTTGAAGAGGGGGATGACCGCGGCAGCTTTCCAATCTCTGGGGATCTCAGACGTTACGAAAAAGAGGTTGAACAGGCTAGTAATAGGGGTTGCGACAATTTCGGCGGCTAATTTTAGAAATAAGGGTCCAGATTGTCTAGCCCAGCTGATTTGTAGGGGTCCAGATTTTTCAGCTCTTTCAGAACATCAGCTGTCTGAATTTGGGTGAAGTAGAAGCGGGGGGGGGGGCATGGGCAAGTTGCAGCGGAGGGTGCAGAGCTGGTGGCCGGGGTAGGGGTAGCCAGGTGGAAAGCATGGCCTGCCGTAGCAAAATGCTTGTTGAAATTCTCGATTATTGTAGATTTATCGGTGGTGACAGTGTTTCCTAGCCTCAGTGCAGTGGGCAATTGGGAGGAGGTGCTCTTATTTTCCATGGACTTTACAGTGTCCCAAAACTTTTTGGAGTTAGTGCTACAGGATGCAAATTTCTGTTTGAAAAAGCTAGCCTTTGCTTTCCTAACTGATTGTGTATATTGGTTCCTGACTTCCCTGAAAAGTTGCATATCGCGGGGGCTGTTCGATGCTAATGCAGTACGCCACAGGATGTTTTTGTGCACTTACAATTGACCGGGGAAGCTCTAGCAGGGCAGACATTTCACGAACTGACTTGTTGGAAAGGTGGCATCCTATGATGGTGCCACGTTAAGTCACTGAGCTCTTCAGCAAGGCCATTCTTCTGCCAATGTTTGTCTATGGAGATTACATGGCTGTGTGCTTGATTTTATACACCGGTCAGCAACGGGTGTGGCTGAAATAGCCGAATCCACTAATTTGAAGGGATATCCACATACTTTTGTATATATAGTGTATATCACTTATTGGCCTAACCCTTTGTTCTGACACAGATCTACTATTCACATGTATCCTCTCAGAATCCCTCACCCTTGATCCACCCTCCTCTACTTTTTCACTGAAGGCTCCGGTCTCTCGTCGTTGTGTGCTTGTAAACAAACACCACATGACTGGGGACTACCGTAAGCTTCATAATGTGACCGATTTTAAATAAGGAACGCAATGTTCTTTAACTCCTAACGTATTCCACAAGTTGACTGCAGGTATTTACTTAAAGTAGCTACACATATTCAAATATATAAAAAAAACTTCAAAGAAATGGTATCGACAGTATTGAAAAACCATCCCGTGGATTTTTCCAAGTACCCCGGTATACACAGTATACCGCCCAAGCCTAGTCAATATTAGACATTAATGTATGGTTATGGTTATGACCCAATCATTGTATTCTCACAGATACTGTATAGTATTCATAGGATGTGTATTGGATGAATTTATTAGGCCTACTAATGCATACCATGATGTAACGCCTAGAAATGTTTTGTCTGAATAATTATTTTTAATTTTAAACGTACACCACAACCATACAAAACCCTACACAGGTCTTCCCTTTACACCAATTAGATTAGGCCTCACCCTTTAAATTCATGCGTTAATAGTCAGATTAGCGTTCTAGCCGTTGATTATGAAAACTCCTGTGGTCTACACAGTAATGGAAAGTGCTGACATGTCAGATTTGGCTCTGGCACTCAGAGCAGAGGTCCCTACTCCAAAATGTCACAACACGACAAAAGGCAGGTTGTATTAAGACCAGCAGATAGAGGCTGCCTCTGCTCTCAGAAGGGAGTGTTGTTGTGGTAGGCAGTTATTGTAAACACTTCTGAAGGCTGAATGCTGTTAGCTAACTGTGTTTGTGCCTCAGACCTTCCTTTGTCAGCGTTTACCTTCCGTCCTTGGCTTCAGTACAAAGCCTGGGGAGAAAAACAAAGAGGAGAGAGGGTGGAAGAGGAGTAGCTGGGGAGACGGTCAGTCTATTGTGCTTTATCCATAATCACCAACACTCACACAAAACTAACCCGGAGTGGAGCAGAGATCCTGGGAACTCAGCTTGCCATGAAACTTTACATTTACCCATTTATAATAAGCAACACTGTTTTCGTCATCTAAAAAGAAGAGGGTTTTCAAAACTGTTTGTACAGTAGACAACATGCCTAGAGGCCTCCTGCTGTACTGCCCTTCTGTCACTGTTAGTGTTTTACTTCCCTATCCGCTCAGTGATACCGAGAGGAGGGGCCACATCTCACCCTAAAGTAGGGCTCTCCAACACTGTTCCTGGAGAGCTACCGTCCTGTAGGTTTTCGCTCCAACCCTAATCTAGTGCACGTGATTCTAATATTTAGCTGGTTGACAAACTGAATCAGTTGGTTACAACTGGGGTTGGAGCGAAAACCTACAGGAGGATAGCGCTCCAGGAACAGGGTTGGAGAGCCCTGCCCTAAAAGAACACTCCCATCACAAACCATAGAGTAGTTCTTCCTCAGTAGCTTTTAGAACAATAGTTGTTTATTTACTCTGACTTCCTGAGAAGTCAGTCTAAGCAGCTCCCTGAGAGGAGGGAGAAGAGCTGCAGCAGATGGGTGGACTCACTGCACCATGACTTTGAATTGAAGAACCTCACTGAGAGAAGTTCTAAAGTCAGAAGAGTTGAGGTGGTAACTTCCTTTTAAAAGTTTGTTTTGGAAATAGAGGGTCAGTATCCCCACCTGAAACTGTATGTGTTTGGTCTGTTATTGCGTTAATCTTTTCCCATCATTTCCTAATGTCTCTTTCTGTCAGGATTAAGGCTGTGTCCGAATACCTGTACTTACGTTCTAAATAGTACGCTTTTTGGGTATGCGGAAATATAACGTTTTATAGTGTGTGACATTTTGAAAATGTAGTATGCTTTAAATGCCAGGATGTCATACTCATTTCGACTTTTCATCTGGTAGAAATCACTGCACACTTAAGGAAGAAAAAACATGTTTTCAGACCCACGTGTGTTTGACAACAGCTGATAATCAGCTGATAACTAGATAAGAGGACAGGCTGTAGCAAAACGAACTAATGGCGCAATTGCGCATTAGGTGACGCATTCTCAGTATGGGTGAGCCTAATATGTTAATTTGTTGCTTACTGCATGCATTTATACTAAACAGTACGTAATGAAGTGTGTAGTATGATTAGTACACGGTATGTCGTTTTTAGTAAGTTGTAAGCAAGACATTTTGGACACAGCAACAATTATGTTTATCTCCCCCTCTCTTCTTTCTCCTCCCTCGCTCCCTGCAGTATAAAGATGGTGATGATGTGGACGAGTGGGGACACCTTTAAGACGGGTTACTTCCTGCTGACCGAGGCTCCTGTCCAGTTCTGGACCTGTGGTCTGCTGCAGGTGGGAGTGGACATTGCCATCCTCTTCCAGGTGTACTACTACAGCCGCTACCCGCAGAAACCCGTCTCACACACCGTGTCCCACACAACCAGCACCAAGGCACTCTGAGACCCCTAACACACACATAGTTATCAATCGGTCATGAGTGCACACAGTGTAACTTTGCCTGAAGAATTCTGCTGAATAAACTTGTTACATTTCATTTCAAAATGGATGGGACCTCCAGCTATATGTGTGTATGTTGTGCAGATGGTTATACAACTATATCCCTAAGAATATATCCCTGTATACGAATATTCCTGAGCATACATACAAAATCTTATGAACATACATCAATCTACGTTGCAATCATATGCACGGTGTATGTGTATGGATGGACACTCAAGGACATGTGGACCAGCTTTCCTGTCCATAGACCTGATGATTGTTGCATGAAAAACCTTAAGACTTTCACAAAGGGCTGGTTACCCAGCCAGTGGTAACAATGTACAACCCATCATAAAAGTAACTAACAGAAACCTCACTCAATGTACAATGAAATAATACTTTTTGGGGAATTTAGAATCTACATTTAATTTAGATAGCTTTTTGTTCTGTCTCAGTGGATTGATGCTGGTCAGTTCTCCACTGGTCTGGTCTGTCTGATCACTCAGGCCTCTTCTGTTCTGGTTGGAAGACCTTCTGCTGCTGCTGCTTGTTGGAAAATTCCCAAGATAAATTGAACTGGAAGCAATTGAAAACAGCAATTTTACCAAAAATGAAAAGCCTGTCTGGGCCAGAGGCCTGGTTCCTGGGAGCCCAACATGTTTCCTTCAGATGACTCTTAGGAAAAGGTTAAAGACTCAGTGGTTCAGTGGACCACTCTATGTTGCTTGTATTACAGACAGTAAGGGAGTCAGCGGAGGGAGGGAGGTAGGTAGGTCTCAACTTGAGGAAATTGTGTGAAACAAATCTATATTACGTTTATGTTACTGTTTTCAATGATTTCAATGAGTAGCAACCACGTTGGTAGGCCAGGGAACTGGAAGGCCTTTCTGTTATGTTATGTTGTTTTTTTAATGGTAAATGAAAACAACAACACATCAGGAAGGACATTTAAGTATAAAGCTTCTGTCTCTAGCACCGTTTATACCTGGTTCTAACATGAATCCTTTGTCCTGATCTTGTCCACATTCTGATTGTTCCCACATTTTCAGACTGGTGTAGATGATTAAAAGACACATACACACACACATAGATATATATATATATATATATATATATATCTATCTATCTCATGTGTAGACATACAGTATTTCTGAAAATGTGGGCACAATCAGGACAAAGGATGCATGTTAGCGCCAGGTATAAACAAGACTTCTGAGGACTGTTTGCTGGTCTGTGGACACCTCATCTTTAGTCTCCTCCCCTCCCTGCTCCTCTCAGCCTCAAGCACCTCAAGAAACCTTTCATTTGTTTAAATGGGACCTTTTTTAATTTGTATGAATATTTTTTTCCTTCAGCTGTTAAATGTTTTAGATGTCTGCTTTGGGTGGAGACGTGGGAACAGTGGCTGAATCAGGAATCGGTCGGGGGTGGGTAGATTTTACCCTGCCGAGGGCTGGTGTGGGTGCAGTGTTTTGTTCTAGCCAAGCAGTAGGTGTGTCCAGACTCTACCTCTTGGTGTGTGTGACCATATGGTTAGTAGAATCTCTCTGGGTGTAACCAAGACTATACCAGCACTACAGCTGTTATACTCAACTCTGGACTGCTGGCTAAAACGTAGTTGGTGGTTGCGTCCAAAATTGTATCCTATTCCTTGTTTATCATAGCATCCTATTCCTTGTTTACTGCACTACTTTGACAAAGTAGTGCACTGTATAGGGAATAGGGTGCCATTTCAGACGCAAATTGAGTTTTACGCTGGATACTCTAGATGGTAAACTTTATTTTAATCACTGATGATGAATATTTGTTTTGTTATGCTATCTTTTTATAATCCTGAAATGTCTATATAATCACCAAACCTTGTACACTTGCCCTTTATCAAGCTCTTTGTTACGATGATGATGGCAGTGCATGTCAAATGGTGACAGTTGTTGTAATTGTGCATCTAGTGACCTCTGGTTGCGTCTTATCAACAGGGCCAAAATGACCACAAACCCCTCTTACTGTTCCATATGTTTCTGATGTTAAGTTGTATTACTTTAGTGGTTATTCAGTATTAGTTCATGGGTATAACTGCCAAACTTTTCCTCTGTTCATGTAGACGCTGATCAAACAATACCAATCCTACATTTTTTACTAGTTTTAGGTCAGGATTCAAGCAAAGGCGCGTTATAGAGCAGCACACTGGACAGCCGACAATGTCCCTTTAAAAGGCAATTTACACTTAAGCCGACATTCGCAGTGCATCCCATGAATGCTATCCCTGTGAACGCTGGGAAATTGCCTTTTAAAAAGGCGCATTGTCGGCTGTCCAGTGCACTGCTTTGTAAGGCACCTTGTACTGAATCACAGCCTCAGTTTATGTACCAAAAATATATTTTTTTTGTATGGTTATCAAACCTTTTGTGTTATGAAGAAATGTATATATTTTATGACATTTTTTTTTTACAACGTTATGTCCGTTTTGTTGTTTTTGTACACAGTACATTACAATATCCCCCCCCATGGAATGGCCAGTTCTATAGAATTGGCAGTTCTTCGTCAAGACACATTTACAGTGCATTCGACAGTATTCAGATCCCTTGACTTTTTCCACATTTTGTTACGTTACAGCCTTATTCTTAATTGGATTAAATTGTTTTTTCCCCTCAATCTACACACAATACCCCATAATGACAAAGCAAAAACAGGTTTTTAGAAATGTTAGCAAATTTATTACAAATAAAAAACGGAAATATCATATTTACATAAGTATTCAGGTCCTTTACTCAGTACTTTGTTGAAACACCTTTGGGAGTTTCTCCCATTCTTCTCTGCAGATCCTCTCAAGTCAGGTTGGATGGGGATCGTCGCTGCACAGCTATTTTCAGGTATCTCCAGAGATGTTCGATCAGGTTCAAGTCCGGGCTCTGGCTGGGCCACTCAAGGACATTCAGAGACTTGTCCCGAAGCCACTCCTGCGATGTCTTGGCTGTGTGCTTAGGGTCATTGTCCTGTTGGAAGGTGAACCTGCGCCCCAGTCTGAGGTCCTGAGCGCTCTGGAGCAGGTTTTCATCAAGGATCTCTCTGTACTTTGCTACGTTCATCTTTCCCTCGATCCTGACTAGTCTCCCAGTCCCTGCCGCTGAAAAACATCCCCACAGCATGATGCTACCACCATGCTTCACTGTAGGGATGGTGCCAGGTTTCCTCCAGACATGACGCTTGGCATTCAGGCCAAATCGTTCAATCTTGGTTTCATCAGACCAGAGAATGTTGTTTCTCATGATCTGAAAGTGCTTTAGGTGCCTTTTGGCAAACTCCAAGCGGCTGTCGTGTGCCTTTTACTTACTGACTAGTGGCTTCCGTCTGGCCACTCTACCATAAAGGCCTGATTGGTGGAGTGCTGCATAGATGGGAGAACCTTCCAGAAGGACAACCATCTCCACAAAGGAACTCTGGGGATCTGTCAGAGTGACCATCGGGTTCTTGGTCACCTCCCTGACCAAGGCCCTTCTCCCCCGATTGCTCAGTTTGGCCGGGCGGCCAGCTCTAGGAAGAGTCTTGGTGGTTCCAAAACGTCTTCCATTTAAGAATGATGGAGGCCACTTGGGGACCTTCAATGCTGCAGACATTTTTTGGTACCCTTCCCCAGATCTGTGCCTCGACACAATCCTGTCTCGGCGCTATACAGACAATTCCTTCAACCTCATGGCTTGGTTTTTCTCTGACATGCACTGTCAACTGTGTGACATTTTATATAGACAGGTGTGTGCCTTTCCAAATCAATTGAATTTACCACAGGTGGACTCAAGTTGTAGAAACATCTCAAGATCGATAAATTGGAACAGGATGCAACGGAGCTCAATTTTGAGTTTCATAGCAAAGGGTCTGAATATTTATGTAAATAAGGTATCTGTTTTTTATTTTGAATACATTTCTGAAACCTGTTTTCGTCATTATTGGGTATTGTGTGTATTAAATTAGGAAAAACATTTATTTAATCCATTTTAGAATAAGGCTGTAACATAACAAAAAGGGGAAGGGGTCTGAATATTTTCCAGATGCACTGTAAATCAACCTCACTATGGTTTGTCTTTTATACTGTTAGCCAATATGGGGTAATAATGTTAAAAAGCCAATATTCATGAAAGCGCTGTCATTAAAGGCCAACATAAAAATGTGTATTCTACTGTTCTTTGTGTAAATGTATTATGCTGGTGATGTTCGTGTGAAGGCTGTATCTGAAATGGCACCCTATTCCCTAAATGGTACACTAATTTGGACTAGAGCCCTGGGAAAAAGTAGTGTGCAATATAGGGAATAGGGTACCATTTCTGACGCCGGCCTATCAGCACTGTCCTGATACTATTCCATCAACAATGGAGACCTGGTTAGCATCTTATGTCAGAGGAACTACTGGCTCACCAACCACGGTCCATGTTTGGGCTTCAGGCATGTGGCCTCCACAGCTATCAGCAACACGTACATGGTAATGCTCCTTCGCTGTGTCTTCACAACAAGCACTGTGTTGACCACACTATACCAACATTAGTCAAAATGCTTTATGTAAAGCATATTCTAAACAAACAGGAATGTGCCGGCCAGCCGCAGCAGAACTAGTCCAGGGAAATTTAGAAAGTCAACAGCTCTGGATATACTTTTTATGGGCAAAAAAGAGCAACACAATCACAAGCCTTCTAATGTCCTCCATGTTTGATGGTATTCAAATGTAAATTAACCCAACTCGTATTTACAATTCAAAAAGACAGCCAAAAGTTAGTTGAATTTCCAATGTGTTATCGCTGCGCTTTCAACCATCTAAAAGCACAACCAAAGTACAAATGGGAATACAATGTGATATTCTATTTATTTATACAACATATTAATGTGATGTCTGTGCTTCATCTAATAGCAGAACCAAATGAACTGGATTGCAGTTGAGATTACATTAAAAGTACATGGTGCAAGTGATCAATGCCGTTTGAGATTCTGTGTAGATTATTACAGCAATTGTGAAGCTCTCCACAGACCTGCGATGACTTAGATGTTGGATCTTCATTTGATCACCCTGTCGCAGGACATTTTAAACTTGTAGTGTATTTGAGATTTAAAAAGACTTCTGAAGTTTGTGATTTCCACTTTGAAAATTTCAGACATGGAGCTCTATTCAATCTGATCCACTTTAGCTGACCTGCATAGCGGTGTCAGAGGTGGAACTGTTAAAACTGTCAAATCCACAAGCGGCTCCTGGCATTATACCTAAAGCAGACATTGCCATTGGCGTCATGGAGTCACATTAACAGAAGTGCTTAGACTGGGAAAAAATGTCTTCCAAGTCGGGAACTCGAGCATTGCGCAGTATGTCATCTTCACAGAGTCTTGCCCCACTACTGAATGGACAAGTGTAGTGTTTGTAACGCAAGATGGAGGAGAGCCTGTCTCTCATCGTAGATCGCATTTATTTTGGGAGATTGCAAAATATGACCTTTTCATTCAAGACAGGATAAATACACTCAATGGCCAGTTGTATTAGGTACACCACCCCGTTCACGAAAATGGTTCGCTCCTACAGACAGTGAGTCATGTGGCCGTGGCTTGCTATATAAAGCAGGCAGACAGGCATTCAGTAAATGTTTGATTTAACATTAGAATGGGCAAAACAAGTGATCTAAGCGACTTTGAGTGTGGTATGATCGTCAGTGCCAGGCGCGCCGGTTCCAGTATCTCAGGAAATTCCGGCCTCCTGGGCTTTTCACGCACGAGAGTGTCCAGGGTTTACCGAGAATGGTGCGACAAAGAAAAAACATCCAGTCAGCTGCAGTCCTTTGGGCGAAAACAGCGCATTGATGAGAGGTCGAAGGAGAATGGCAAGAATCGTGCAAGCTAACAGGCAGGCTACAAACAGGCAAATAACGGCATTTCCGAAAGCACAACTCGTTGATTCTTGTCAGAATGATTGCAAGAGCAGCTGCTCACTGATTTGACGGCTCCCAACGCAGTTCCACCTCCAACAAAGCATCTGCTATGCGGGTGTCAGCTATCGCCGGTTAACACTTGATCTGATTGAATCTAGGCTTTGATTTTCGCTTAGGAAAATGTATCAACCCCTACAAACATTTCCATTAATCGTAATCCACATAAATCCATTCCTGTTGCTGCAGGATTATAATTTTCCTGCTGTAGCAAACTGGCTCAAATTAAGATCCTACAACTGTATCTACTGCTTTGATAGTTCCATCTGAGCCACTGGCTTAATCCCATTTATTTTTGGTTGAGTTGGAGATATGAATCAACATATAATTTGTTAACTTGTCGACAAGTTAATTGGCTATTTATCAACATTTGAAGGAGATGTATATTTTGCTTAGATAGTTCCATCTGTGCCACTGATTTAGTCTGGCTTTAATTCCAGTTTGTCTACAAATTAATACATTTTATTCACTTCTCCATCTCAACCAAAAATCTAAGTTATAGAATAGGACTACATCAAATCAAATTTTAAATGCACTTTTGATTAAACACACAAGGTCGCCAGTTCGAATCCCAATGCACCTTTTGTTTTCCAAATTTACCCAACATACTAAAGGGCAGCTGAACTCAGCAACTAACTTCTCTGGTTGAAAATGGCCTTTGTTACATCGATTTTAGTCAGAAACATTGATTGTAGTGTAAAAATGTACTACTACGTGTAAATAGCATAGTTTTAGTCATAAAGTCAGTATCTACCAAAACGGAGATTTCAGAGATATAGGGAAGCTGTTACGTTCCTAGATCCATTAGATATTTGAGGGATGGTAACACCTAGCTCTCAAAAACTCTAGGCGGCATTCTGCCTTCTACCTAGTTTTCAGCCATCAGCTTCGTCCACGACTGGCTCATGTGAACTACAATTCCGACGCTGTGTTTTAACATTTAGAAACGTCAATAATAATTGCTTGCGATACGGCTTTCGAAACATATGGCCCTTATCTATCATCAGCGAGAAAGAATATTTAAAATAAAAACAGACACTTACTGTAGCAGTTACAGATCCATACAGCTATGAGTGCCTCCATCCAACGAAACTACAATTCCCGAGTTACGCTAACACACAGGTGTTTGGAACATGCTAGATAGCTAATTAGCACAGGTCATCGCCTCGTCTTCCGTCTGTTTCTGTAAACAAGCGCTGTAATATGGAGATATATGGCTGAGTGGGAACACAAACCCTAACAAGGTGTGTTTTAAGTTAACCTTTTTATTTTTTGCTGATATGAAAGATAAGGTCCTTATGCTTCCAAAATCGTACCGCAAGGGACGCCTCTTAATGTTCAGATTGAGCATCGGGGCTCTTAACAAAACTCCCCTGTACAAAAGACGCCTTCGTCCAATGACTCTTATGTGTAATGTAATGGAACGGAGTCATGATCAAGGGCTAGGTAACACCTAGCTAGGGAGAATTGTCATGCATGAAGAAACAGCTGCGCTGATTGCGTTTCCATTCAATCGTATGGCAGAACCTACAGCCAGTGAGACAGAACTGCCCACATTACGCACTACGCAGCGCCTCGGTCTTGTTTACATAAGACCACCTCGCCAATGTATTATTTTAATTACACTTGGCCCCTAAGCCCTTTATAGAGTAACCACTTGCTGGTGTGTTTGATAGTGATCACTCGAGTCTGCCACTGTTTTGGGCAAAATGAGAATTGAGACGATGTGCCCTTGCATCCCTACTGACACTTGTCCATATTCCAAAATTCAAAAACCATTTCTCCCGCGTCCTGTTTCGTCACATGATTCGCAATGAAACTCTGCCAGACGGACTCACACTCCGGTAATACATAGTGAGAAAGTTGTAAAAACTAAATGGCACCGAAGTACTTTGCCACTCGCCAGTGACTTGTTACGCTGATTTAGCCAACGTGGCCTGCCTGCTCAATGTGCCTGCTAGCTACTAGCTAGCTTCATTGACAACCACAGAGATGGAATTTAGCTAGCTAGGAAGTAATTTTGGGCTCTGATAAACAGCGTGTAGCTTGTGCTTTATTTACGATAGTTTGACAGCTTGCTGATGAAGTTGAAGACAGTACTGAGCGCAGTAGCAGCTGACTCGATGCTGTCTGGAGTGCACTACTAGTTTTCATGCACATTGTTTAACTTGAGAAGTACTGCACCAAACACCTTAGCGAGATGTAAAATTGCGTGACTAAGACCTCTGCAAAAACGTCAAAATTACAGATTTCTTGAATTATCATATTCTGACTATTTTGAGGGCGAAATGTTTCTACCGGTACTCAAGAGGGACAAAACAATAACTGTGGGTACGATATAACGAACATAACACATCCAATCACACCCCCAAGATGCAAATCTTGTTTTTCATAATGAGCAGCAGAAAAACATGCAGAGTTCAGCTGCCCTTTAACTAATCACATTTCTCATCTACTGACGTTCCAAAAGACTGACTTAACAGCTTTATATATGTGAAAATAACAATAACCCGAGCGGTCGGGTAGGCTGTTTGGAGTGTTTATCCAACTGAAAAAATAATTATAATTATGTCCCCCCCACTTCTAAAACCAAAGTTGCGCCCTGATTAGATGTAATATAACATGTCTGGAGCCAAGGCCAACCCTGCCTGAAAACAGAACAATTTATTATTCAGAGGAGATGTGCAACTGGAGGAAAACCTCCGGACAGAATCATATGCTGAAATGAATTTAATAAAGTGTATAATCATACATTGCATCAGCCGAGGTCATGGTTTTCGTACATTTATTAAAATATGCAGATCCTGAGTCTAGATAGAAGCAAACTAAGCATTCTGAAATCTGTAAATGTGTTGTATATAGTCAAATAATCTTTCTTATTGCACTTATCTTGTTGCAATATTTCTTATCCTAAATATATACAAAAATTATAATATTTTAATCAAAGGTATTTTTCCCCCTAAAATAATAGCTTTATCATACTGAATATTTGTGAGAGAGAAGCTTTCTCCCCATGCTGTGTTGTAGGGCTATACTCCTGTGTTGTAGGGCTTCTATACTCCTGGGTGAAATGTCCTTTGACCACAGAGAACTTGTCTTTTTATATTGTGGTCAGCTCTACACCAGTAATGTCAGCAAAAAGACTTCTGCAGCGGTCTTATAAAATCTTAGAAACTCTATTGAACAGACTCTGATGGACAGAGCTATGGAGGCTCACAAATGTTGGAGCTCCTTTTTTTCTTAAGCTTGTGAGAAACGTCCCATCCCTGTTTAGAGTCCTCAAGCTTTAGTACGAGTTTCCCACAGTGCACTGCACACCGCCAGCCTCACGTTGCACACACACTCAGTGTTGAGTCTGCAGGGCCCTCCTCTGTGACGCAATGGCGATGGACTTCCTGCGTAAAGCAGAGGCGGCAACCTCAGTGATGCCATGGTAACTGTCCGTCTCAGCCGAGTCCTCGCTGTTCTGAGACTTGGTGGAGTCCTGGAAGTCTGGTTTCTGTCTCAGCATTCTGTTCTGCTCCTCCTTCAGCTCCAGGTAGGATCGAGAGAACGTGTGGAAGATAGAGGTCACGGGGAACGCCATGAGGAGAATCCCACTGAGGATGCTGCTGAGCGCCACCACCTGACCCGGGATGCTCCGAGGCACCATGTCCCCGTACCCCACCGTTGTCATGGAGATCACCGCCCACCAGTAGGTGCCGGGGATGCTGGTGAAGTCGTACTTGGCGCCCATCTCGCTCTCCGCCAGGAACACCAGCGGGGAGAACAGTGCCATGGCAACGCACAGGAAGAGGAGGAGCAGGCCAAACTCGCGGGTGCAGCGTCGGACCGTCAGGCCTAAGGTCTGCAGCCCCAGGGAGTGGCGCGCCAGACGCATCACGTAGAAGATCCTCAGGGCCCGGAGTACCCGCAGCACCAGGCCCACCTTCTCCAGGTAGTTGTTCCCGCCGCTGGGCTTCTCCCCTCCCTCAGACAGAGAGTCTACGATCAGGGTGATGTAGTAGGGCAGGATGGCCACCACGTCGATAATGTTGAGGGGCGTCTTCAGGAAGACACACTTACTAGGCGTCTGGATGAAGCGCAGCAGGAACTCCAGAGAGAACCAGGCCACACACACCGTCTCCAGGACAAAGATATTGTAGCACCTCTGAGAACACTCACCCTGGAAGACAGAGGAAACACAGTGTTAAGAAAAACTCACAGTGGAAGAGAGTGAACACAGTGAAGGGTTAACAGTGTTAAGGCGAGCAACAATTATAATGCAAGACATTGGTAGGAAAGGACAATACATTCACTATTATAAAACATTCTTCACAACTGTTTCCTAATCACACAAGTCAGTTGTTCCTATCCAGCTCGAAGGACCAGTTCAAGAGACTCCTCTACACCAGCGGGGGCTTCAGGGGGGGAGGGGAGGGGAGGGGGGGGGGGGGGGGGTAGAGATTTGTGGAGGAGAGGAAGGGTGCCAGAGCAGTGTTCGAGGGAGAGCTGGAGAGGGTTTTGGAGCAGCACATAAACCATCTGAACATCCCTGTTAGTTGATTGGGATCATAAGGAAAAGAGACCAGTTTCTTTGATCAAACAGCCAGAGGGATATGTGTTTTTTTCTTCCTGTGTATTATAAAATAGACAGGCAATCTGTCAGCAGTACTTTACATTATTTATAAAGCTGAGAGGAGAGGCTTTGATGATGTCAGATATTCATTGATGTTGAACGCTGACTGAGGAAACACTATTCCCTTCCTTTAATTGGCAAGGCTGAGATGGGCTATACAGTACAATGTAATTATATTATTATAGGCTCCGTTTGTAGACTGTCAACTCCTTTAGACAAATCACCCTGGTAGCAATATCTGGTCATACATTCAGAATCTTTGTACTCAAGATATCAATTACTGGTGTCCATCCACAATAAATAGTCATACAAGTGTGACATGAGACAGATCCATAGAACTCATGCAGCCACAATGTCAACAGCAACTTGAAGCTGAGGAGAAAACATTGATTCCTTCTCTTTCCTCCCTCTCTCTCTCCAATCTGACTGTTATTAATACAACTTCATTAAAGTAAATTAATTTCCTTCCTGGGATCAGCGGGAACTAAGCTAAAGCCAACTGTGACTACATTATAAATATCATAAATACTTTAATTTACTTCTGACATGCTGAAATATCCTTACTTCCTGTAGTGTAATACATTTTCCGTCTGCTCTAAATGGGTCCATAAATATTATATAACTGTATTTACATGTGATTATGAAAACAGACCCAGAAAGAGAATGAGGAGGAAGGGGGAGGAGAGGGGGAGGAGGGGGTTTATGTGTAAAGCTTTATACTGTACAAACATCTATAATGATTTATTTGTATGAAAGAAAGAAGCCAAGCTGTCAGTCTCTCCTTTCATTGCACTGTCGCTCTGGGGAACTTAGCCAGGCTTCATCAACATGTTTAGGAACAAGTGAGCATAAAATAATGTCTGAATTGCTTTTGCCAACTTTTGGTAACTTTCCTCTAGTCAGTGCATCCTTCCGTTCCATCATAGTCTCCTCAATTACTCCTTAAATGTTATTAGGGAACACGTGTTTTTGACCAGCAGTTGAGCTCTAACCTGTTAGAGAATCATCACTTGTGAATAAGATGCTAGAGGTGCTTAAAAACAACAACCAAGAGAATATGCATCTTAAAAACCAATCCAGTGTATCCTTGGAGAAAAACAAAAGTAGCGTAGTGAGGAGAAAGTGTAAGAACAGAGCTGGGGGACTTTTAGCTTCTCATCATTCTAGTAAATATAATTTAATCAAAGCAAAGCTGTATCTGAAAGGCTTAAAGGGCAAAGGCAGCACAGAAATAAGCATTCAAAAATAAACGTCCTCTCACTGTCAACTGCGTTTATTTTCAGCAAACTTAACATGTGTAAATATTTGTACGAACATAACAAGATTCAACAACTGAGACATAAACTGAACAAGTTCCACAAATGTGACTAACAGAAATTGAATAATGTGTCCCTGAACAAAGAGGGGGTCAAAATCAAAAGTAACAGTCAGTATCTGGTGTGGCCACTGCTGCATTAAGGACTGCAGTGCATCTCCTCATGGACTGCACCAGATTTGCCCGTTCTTGCTGTGAGATGTTACCCCACTCTTCCACCAAGGCACCTGCAAGTTCCCGGACATTTCTGGGGGGAATGGCCCTAGCCCTCACCCTCCGATCCAACAGGTCCCAGACGTGCTCAATGGGATTGAGATCTGGGCTCTTCGCTGGCCATGGCAGAACACTGACATTCCTGTCTTGCAGGAAATCACGCACAGAACGAGCAGTATGGCTGGTGGCATTGTCATGCTGGAGGGTCATGTCAGGATGAGCCTGCAGGAAGGGTACCACATGAGGGAGAAGGATGTCTTCCCTGTAACACACAGCGTTGAGATTGCCTGCAATGACAACAAGCTCAGTCTGATGATGCTGTGACACACCGCCCCAGACCATGACGGACCCTCCACCTCCAAATCGATCCCACTCCAGAGTACAGGCCTCGGTGTAACGCTCATTCCTTCGACGATAAACGCGAATCCGACCATCACCCCTGGTGAGACAAAACCGCGACTCGTCAGTGAAGAGCACTTTTTGCAAGTCCTGTCTGTTCCAGCGACGGTGGGATTGTGCCCATAGGCGACGTTGTTGTCGGTGATGTCTGGTGAGGACCTGCCTTACAATAGGCCTACAAGCCCTCAGTCCAGCTTCTCTCAGCCTATTGCGGACAGTCTGAGCAATGATGGAGGGATTGTGCGTTCCTGGTGTAACTCGGGCAGTTGTTGTTGCCATCCTGTACCTGTCCCGCAGGTGTGATGTTCGGATGTACCGATCCTGTGCAGGTGTTGTTACACGTGGTCTGCCACTGCGAGGACGATCAGCTGTCCGTCCTGTCTCCCTGTAGTGCTGTCTTAGGCGTCTCACAGTAAGGACGTTGCAATTTATTGCCCTGGCCACATCTGCAGTCCTCATGCCTCCTTGCAGCATGCCTAAGGCACGTTCACGCAGATGAGCAGGGACCCTGGGCATCTTTCTTTTGATGTTTTTCAGAGTCAGTAGAAAGGCCTCTTTAGTGTCCTAAGTTTTCATATCTGTGACCTTAATTGCCTACCGTCTGTAAGCTGTTAGTCTTAACGACTATTCCACAGGTGCATGTTCATTAATTGTTTATGGTTAATTGAACAAGCATGGGAAACAATGTTTAAACCCTTTACAATAAAGATCTGTGAAGTTATTTGGATTTTTACGAATTATCTTTGAAAGACAGGGTCCTGAAAAAGGGATGTTTCTTTTTAAGCTGAGTTTATATAAACCAGAGGAACCTTTCTTCCATGTTTACTAATCCAAACAACATGCAACTGCTTCACTATGCTGGATTATTCACAGAGCACAACAATAAACCCACTGGGCCCAGATGTCATTTCATCATCTAGTTTTGATATACATTTGGTTGAGTTATCAACTAACGTGAATTCAACGTGAAATCAACAAAAGTTGTCACCATGTCATTGGATTTAGGTTAAAAGTTAAAAAAGAAGAGGAAATTCCCTTGATTTTTTGAAAATCCAATCAGTTTTCCACATTGATTAAATGTCATCACATTGTTTCCACGTTATTTCAACAATAAAATCAATGTTGATTCAACCAGTTTTTGCCCAGAGGGAAGTGTGTGTGTGTTTTTGTTTGTTTGTGTGTGTGTATATGTGTGTGTGTGTGTAAGTGCTTGCGAGCGTGTGTGCATGTAAAACATATTTACAATTTGGCCAGTTGTTGTAGTAATGTCCTTTGATGGGCTGAGTCAATTAGTATTCAACCCCTTTGTTATGGCAAGGCTAAATAAGTTGCATGGACTCACTATGTGCAATAATAGTGTTTAACATGATTTTTGAATGACTACCTCATCTCTGTACCCCACACATACAATTAGCTGTAAAGGTCCCTCAGTCGAGCAGTGAACTTCAAACACAGATTCAACCACAAAGACCAGGGAGGTTTTCCAATGCCTCGCAAAGAAGGGCACCTATTGGTAGATGGGTCAAAATAAATAAAAATAGCAGATATTGAATATTCGTTTAAGCATGGTGAAGTTAATAATTACACTTTGGATGGCGTATCAATACACCCAAAGATACAGTTGCCGGAGAGGAAGGAAACCGCTCAGTTACAGAGTTTAATGGCTGTGATATGAGAAAACTGAGGATGGATTAACAACATTGTAGTTACTCCACAATACTAACTTAAATTACAGAGTGAAAAGAAAGAAGCCTGTACATAATAAAAATATTCCAAAACATGCATCCTAAGGCACTAAAGTAAAATTGCAAAAATGTGGCAAAGAAATTAACTTTATGTCCTGAATACAAAGTGTTATGCTTGGGGCAAATCCAACACAACACATCACTGAGTAACACTCTTCATATTTTCAAGTTTGGTGGTGGCTGCATCATGTTATGGGTATGCTTGTCATCGCCAAGGGATAAAAAGAAACAGGATAGAGCTAAGTACAGGCTAAATCCTAGAGGAAAACCTGGTTCAGTGTGATTTCCAACAGAGACAAATTCACCTTTCAGCAGGACAATAACCTTAAACACAAGGCCAATTCTACACTGGAGTTGCTTACCAAGACGACATTCCTGAGTTGCCTAGTTACAGTTTTGACTGGTACTATATATATCTGCTTGAAAATCTACGGAAAGAGTGAAAAATGGCCGTGGTAAGACTAGCAATGATCAACAACCAACTTGACAGAGCTTGAAGAATTTTCAATAAACTGAATGTGCAAATATTGTAAAATCCAGGTGTGCAAAGCTCTTAGAGACTTACCCAGAAAGGCCAAATGTGATTCTAACATGTATTGACTCAGGGGTGTGAATACTTATGTAAATTAGATATTTATGTATTTCATTTTCAATAAATGTGTAAAAATTCAGGCTGCAACACAACAAGATGTGGAATACTGTAAGTAAAGTGGTATGAATACTTTCTGAAGGCACTGTACATGGCTACAGTGGATTACATTAAAACACACACTAATCAGATTCAGCAAGCACTCTACTCCATATCAGAGCTCCAGACAGGCGTGTAGCAGCCATGTTGCGTGTTAACTAAACAACACGGCCAATCACCACAGGAGGAGGCGGGTGACCTTTGGTCCCCAAGGTGTGTGTAAGTGGGCATGATTTACAAACAGGCTTAGCGTAAAGATGAGCTGGCTGTTATTATAACACACACAGCTTTTAATGGCTTTAGTCAATTTGTTTACCTCAGCAAATTGTAACAAATAACAAAGCACACCCCCATTCTCATCGACAGGGCTATAGTGGAGCAGCTTGAGAGCTTCAAGTTCCTTGGTGTCCACATCACCAACAAACTATCATGGTCCAAACACACCAAGACAGTCGTGAAGAGGGGCACGACATAGCCTATTCCCCCTCAGGAGACTGAAAAGATTTGGCATGGGTCCTCAGATCCTCAAAAAGTTATACAGCTGCACCATCGAGAGCATCCTGACTGGTTGATTCACCGCCTGGTATGGCAACTGCTCGGCCTCCGACCGCAAGGCACTACAGAGGGTAGTGCGTACGGCCCAGTACATCACTGGGGCCAAGCTTCCTGCCATCCAGTGCTACCAGGCGGTGTCAGAGGAAGGCCCTAGCCACCCTAGTCCTAGACTCTAGCCACCCTAGTCATAGACTGTTCTCTCTGCTACCGTACGGCAAGCGGTACCGAAGCTCCAAGTCTAGGTCCAAAAGGCTTTTTACCCCCAAGCAATAAGACTCCTGAACAGCTAATCAAATGGCTACCTGGACTAGTTGCCTTGCCCCCTGCCTGCCCCCCCCCCACCACCTGCAACCCCCCCCCCACCACCTGCAACCCCCCCCCCTTACGCTGCTGCTGCTCTCTGTTTATTATCTATGCATAGTCACTTTACCACTACCCAGATGTACATATTACCTCAATTACCTCGACTAACCTGTGCCCCCACACATTGACTCTGTACCGGTACCCCCTGTATATAGCCTCGCTCCTGTTATTTTACTGCTGCTCTTTAATAATTTGTTATTTTTCTTCTTTTTTTATTTTTACTTATCTATTTTTTACTTAACACTTTTTTTTTTTAACTGCATTGTTGGTTAAGGGCTTGTAAGTAAGCATTTCACTGTAATACCTGTTGTATTCGGTTCATGTGACAAATACAATTTGATTTGATTTGATTTGATGCACACTTTATATGATTCCATAAGAAGAAATGTATAGTTACAGTAACCTTAATGTGGCCATGGATGTGTTACTCATTTTAAGGTTGAATGTTACATTAATTTGTAAGATAGCTGTCACGCCCTGGCTCTGGGGACACTTATGTTGAGCCAGGGTGTGTAGATCTATGTGTTGTTTTTCTATGTCGGGAGTCTAGGTATGGTATTTCTGTATTGGCCAGAGTGGTTCCCAATCAGAGGCAACGAGTGTCAGCTGTGGCTGGTTGTCTCTGATTGGGAGCCATACTTATAGAGGCTGTTTTCCCACATTAGTTGTGGGATCTTGTTTCGAGTTAGACCGTGAACTGTCACGTTATCGTTTTGTTTAGTTTGTCGTATATCGCTAAATAAAGAGTATGTTTGCCTGCAACGCTGCGCCTTGGTCCTCCTCTCTTACCGACGAACGTGACAGAAGATCCCACCAAAACTGGACCAAGCAGCGTGTCCAGGAGCCATCGCCAGGGGAGTCGCTAGCAGATCTCCGTGGCAACCTCGACTGGGTCAAGCCTAATGAAGAGCAGAGAGGGTGGACTTGGGAACAGTGGAGGAAGAGTCTCGACTGGGTCAAACCAAATGAAGAGCAGAATGGCGGGAGTTGGAAGCAGAAGAGCGAGAGTTGGGCGAGAACAATAGAGGCCTGGCCCACGGGGAGGAGAGACCCCCAGATTTTTTTTTGGGGGGGGCTCACGACGTGGACGTCGGGGCAGCAGGAGGCCGCGATAGAGCGGTCCAGCGGGTTGGCAGAGGAGGCTGCCAGGTTACGGGGGCCACTGGTATTAAAGGGGAAGGAAAGTGTGGAGGCACGGCGAGAGGTACTGGGGTGTGTTACCAGTCCGGTCCGGCCCGTTCCTGATCCCTGCATAGGGCCAGTGGTGTGTGTCCCCAGTACGGTCCGGCCTGTTCCTGTTCCTCGCATCAGGCCAATGGTGCACGTCGCCAGCCCGGCCCGTCCTGTTCCTGCTCCCCGCACCAGGCCAATGGTGCGCGTCGCCAGCCCGGCCCGGCCCTTTCCTGCTCTCCGCACCAGGTCAATGGTGCGCGTCGCCAGCCCGGTCCGGCCCTTTCCTGCTCCCCGCACCAAGCCAATGGTGCGCGTCGCCAGCCCGGTCCGGCCCTTTCCTGCTCCCCGCACCAAGCCAATGGGGCGCGTCGCCAGCCCGGCCTGTCCTGTTCCTGCTCTCCGCACCAGGTCTATGGTGCGCGTCGCCAGCCCGGTCCGGTCCGTTCCTGCTCCCCGCACCAAGCCAATGGGGCGCGTCGCCAGCCCGGTCCGGCCCGCTCCTGCTCCCCACACCAAGCCAGTGGTGTGCGTTGTCAGTCCGGCACGGCCCGTGCCTGTTCCCCACACCAAGCCAGTGGTGTGCGTCGTCAGTCCGGCACGTCCCGTGCCTGTTCCACCGGTGCCTGGTCCGGCACCGGTCAGATGCTTCACGCCGGAGCTAGAGCAATCCGCTCCACCAGTGTGCAGTCCAGCTCCGGCCAGCGGGGTCAGACCGGACCAGGGGTACTTTGGGGGGTTGGAGAGGGAGCGGGGAACAGGCCCGGAGCCGGATCCGCCGCCTAGGCGGAGTGCCCACCCGGTCCCTCCCCTGTGGTATTTGGTTGACGCGGTCGGAGTCCGCGCCTTTAGGGGGGGGTACTGTCACGCCCTGGCTCTGGGGACACTGTTATGTTGAGCCAGGGTGTGTAGATCTATGTGTTGTTTTTCTATGTCGGGAGTCTAGGTATGGTATTTCTGTATTGGCCAGAGTGGTTCCCAATCAGAGGCAACGAGTGTCAGCTGTGGCTGGTTGTCTCTGATTGGGAGCCATACTTATAGAGGCTGTTTTCCCACATTAGTTGTGGGATCTTGTTTCGAGTTGGTTTGTGTTAGACCGTGAACTGTCACGTTATCGTTTTGTTTATTTTGTCGTATATCGCTAAATAAAGAGTATGTTTGCCTGCAACGCTGCGCCTTGGTCCTCCTCTCTTACCGACGAACGTGACAATAGCCTTAACTTCAGGCTATTTACGTATTACAAAAGTAATACTGAATTGTGTTTGGTTGACAACGCAACCAAATATCAACATTTAAAGGAGATGTATCTACTGCTTGGATAGTTCCATCTGAGCCGCTGGCTTAATCCCATTCTTTAACTTTTATTTTTGGTTGGGTTGAGTTGGAGACGTGAATCCAACATATCATTTGTTAACTTGACAAGTTAATAGGCTATTTATTGTATTTCAAAAGTGATTCACATTTCCATCTCAACCAAAAGTTTAAGTTAAAGAATAGGACTAAATCAAATCAAACTTTAAATGCACTTTAAATAATGTTATATTTGATTTAGCCCTATTTTTTTACTTTTCTTTTTGGTTGAGATAGTGATGTGAATCCAACATATCAATTATAAATTTTTAGACAAACTGGAATTAGTGGCACAGATGGAACTATCCAAGCGGAAGATGCATCTCCTTCTAATGTTGATATTTGGTTGCGTTGACAACCAAACAATTCAACATGACTAAATATCATACAATTTGAAATCAACCAGAGCTTGAAACCCTAGGTCTATTTTATTGTCTATTTTTAGTTGAATTCTGGGTTGAATTAAAACAATAGCTGTTGATGACTATATAGGCCTAAATAGCATCATTGATGATATAGGAGTGATAAAGTATGGTCACATGTAATTTGCTCTGTTAAACCTACCCTTTGGAATGACTTTGATAGCAACAGTGAATCTATTTCATTTTTAAATGGAGATCTCTCAACAATCATTCTCAGGATAGCACGTTGGTAATAGTCAGTGGCAATATTATAGCTGGGCTTGGTTAAAACCCTGGATGGGAGACCAAAGGGTAGCCGTAGATAGATCAATTCTCCAGTAGGTGGTGCTGCCCAGCCTATTGTTATTTTTCCTGATAGTGGATATAATGTTGAAGACCTGACGTTGTTTTAAAGCTACAAATTCAACATATTTTTATACAAGGTTTCTCTGTTGAAATTTGGTTACCATGATGACATAATCATGTGGTTGAAATCTCACCCTCAAAACAACAGTTTAGACTTTTTTCAAATCCAATGTATTTTCCCCTTATATTCCACATCATAATACGTTGACAAATTACATTGAAAGTTGATTCAACCAGTTTTTGCCCAGTGGGATGTCCCTTTAATTGTCAGCTGACTGCTTGCAAGCCTTGCTAGTTATATAATTGCACACACCTGTGGCCTCCTGCCTCAAGCACTGCAGTTTCTTTTAATGCGGAATGGTGTTCAGTGTGTGAAGGTTACTGCTGGTATGTCATGCAAGTTTTAATAAAAATAACCTATTTATTATAAAATGACTATCTCCTTCTCATCAATGTGAGAGGGCATTGGCCAGCTATCTCACACTGAATGAACAGAAGAGCCCTGCTCCTTGTGGTTCTGAAGGCTGCTGTGGTTTAATGCTTTGATGTTAAAGGTGCTACACATAGGTGATTTCAGAAAATGTCCATAATATACACTACCAGTCAAAAGTTTGGACACACCTACTCATTCAAGGGTTTTTCTTTATTTTTACTATTTTTTTTACATTGTAGAATAATAGTGAAGATATCAAAACTAGGAAATAACACATATGGAATCATGTAGTAACCAAAAGAGTGTTAAACAAATCAAAATATATTTTATATTTGAGATTCTTCAAATAGCCACCCTTCGCTTTGATGACAGCTTTGCACACTCTTGGCATTCTCTTTTTTGGTTACTACATGATTCCATAGGTGTTATTTCATAGTTTTTATGTCTTCACTGTTATTCTACAATGTAAACAATTTTTAAAAAATTAAAAAAAAAAGAAAGAAAAAACCTGGAATGAGTAGGTGTGTCCAAACTTTTGACTGGTACTGTATATCTGTCGGTAATGATAGTGTTTCACAGTATTACTTACCCGCCAGTGTTGTGATTGGCTGTGATATTCGCCTATTGATTTCTCCCACCGGGGCAACATCTGTTGTCAAAATGGGAAAGCTGTTCTGAATTTGTGGCTGTATTATTTAGTGGAAATTGCTCTGTCATGTCCTGGTTGCTAAAATTCTACACTGTTTCAGACTGTGGGCTGACACACCTGGTAGTATATGTAGACTGTGGGCTGACACACCTGGCAGAGTATGTGAGCGGAGTTGAGCAGTCGGAAATCACACTCCACGTTCATCGCTCATGGAGCGATGCTTGCGCACCGCTCCGGCGCTTGCGCAGCGCTCCATGTCCTTTCCAACCGTAAAAAATGCTCCTCGCTCAGGAAAAGAAACTGCCGCTCCAATCATTAAAATCACAATTTAACCAACATCCATATATTTTTCTAAATACCTGGACCTACCATTTGGTTTGAAGTATTGAAACCAAATCATATGATTTGAATGAAAAGTTTGAATGAAAAGGTCAGAAGCGCTCATCATTTCAAATAGGTTACATGAATGTACTAAACAGCATAAAAACACTCTAAATAGGTCAAGAGCCAGACAGGTAGCCTACAAATGAATTATATAGGCTATATTATTTAAATTATTTCAAGGCTATAGTCTACAAAGAAATACATTTTGAAGCATTTGCGAGTGCGACACACTAGGCTGGTAGGGACATTAAGCTTTCAGCATTTAAACAACATGTAGTTGTATTAAATCATTAGTCTATAAATTGGGCATATAGGCTGTGACTTGCTTAAAATTAAATACAAAAACCAAAAATGCCTTATTAGGCTCAGTGTCTTTGAATTCATTTTTAGAAACAGGAGTTTGACCAGAGTCTGTGGTTTAAGGCTCATGCGAACAATTTAAGATTAAAAGTGATTTCCCTCATTCTCTTTCACCCATAAAGATGGTAACCTGAAAGCAAAGCTCTCCATTAATCAGTCAGAGATCTCTCCAGTTACAGTGCATTCAGAAAGTATTCAGACCCCTTGACTTTTTCCACATTTTGTTACATTGCATCCTTATTCTAAAATAGATTAACGTGGGGAAAAAACACTTTTTTCAACACACAATACCCCATAATGACAAAGCAAAAACTGGTTTTTAGAAATTTTAGCAAATCTATTACAAATAAAAAATGGAAATATACATTTACATAAGTACTCAGACCCTTTCCTCAGTACTTTGTTGAAGCCATTACAGCCTAGAGTCTTCTTGGGTATGACGCTACAAGCTTGGCACACCTGTATTTGGGGAGTTTCTCCCATTCTTCTCTGCAGATCCTCTGAAGCTCTGTCAGGTTGGATGGAGAGTGTCGCTGCACAGCTATTTTCAGGTCTCTCGAGAGATGTTTGATCGGGTTCAAGTCCGGGCTCTGGCTGGGCCACTCAAGGACATTCAGAGACTTTTCCCGAAGCCACTCCTGCGTTGTCTTGGCTGTGTGCTTGGGGTCATTGTCCTGTTGGAAGATGAACCTTTGCCCCAGTCTGAGGTCCTGAGCTCTCTGGAGCAGGTATTCATCAAGGATCTCTCTGTACTTTGCTCCGTTCATCTTTCCCTCAATCCTGACTAGTCTCCCAGTCCCTGCCGCTGAAAAATCCCCACAGCATGATGCTGCCACAACCATGCTTCACCAAGCAGGCTGTCACGTGCCTTTTACTGAGGAGTGGCTTCTGTCTGGCAACTCTACCATAAAGGCCTGATTGGTGGAGTGCTGCAGAGATGGTTGTCCTTCTGGAAGGTTCTCCCATCTCCACAGAGGAACTCTAGAGCTCTGTCAGAGTGACCATCGGGTTCTTGGTCACCTCCCTGACCAAGGCCCTTCTCCCCCGATTGCTCAGTTTGGCCGGGCAGCCAGCTCTAGGAAGAGTCTTGGTGGTTCCAAGCGTCTTCCATTTAAGAATGATGGAGGCCACTGTGTTCTTGGGGACTTTCAATGCTGCAGAAATATTTTGGTACCCTTCCCCAGATCTGTACCTTGACACAATTCTGTCTTAGAGCTCTACAGACAATTCCTTCGACCTCATGGCTTGGTTTTGACAGGTGTGTGCCTTTCCAAATCATGTCCAATCAATTGAAGTTACCGCAGGTGGCCTCAAATCAAGTTGTAGAAACATCTCAAGGATGATCAATGGAAACAGGATGCACCTGAGCTCAATTTAGAGTCTCATAGCAAAGGGTCTGAATACTTAAGTAAATAAGGTATTTCATTTTTTTTATTTTTTTTATAATTTGCTTAAATTTCTAAAAAGCAGTTTTTGCTTTGTCATTATGGGGTATTATGTGTAGATTGATGAGGAATTTGTATTTATTTAATCCATTTTAGAATAAGGCTGTAACGTAACAAAATGTGGAAAAAAGTCAAGGGGTCTGAATACTTTCCGAATGCACTGTATTTATCAGAGAGAATAAAACGGATTAAACAAGTCCTACATTTCCACATATGTTTACAGGGGGAGAAATAAGCCATTTTGACATTGAGGTGTGAAAAGACTGAAATTGACACACAAACTCAGAGGACACTACTCTGAGGACAAACTAGAGACACTCTACTCTGAGGGGACACACACACACTTCTCTATTCATCCAGATAGAGGCAATAAGCAGACCCATAAAAAACTCTGCGCGTGTGTGTACGTGCAGCTGTTATGTGGCCTGAATCACTGAGCTGTATAAGAACAGACAAGCTAAGTGCTTTCCATCATCAACAACACCTTGCTTTTACAAAAACCACAACTTTCTTTCTGTTTTAATGGATCACAACTGCACACAGGCAAAGGGATATGGAGGTTAGAGTCTAACTGGGTCTGGAAGACAAGGGTTGTCAGAATGTCTCTGAGCAGATCAACAAGCCTGTCCTCTGGACGGAGGAACAACAAGCTAAACAGAATGTAACATTTAACATGTTTGAGGACGCCAACTCTTACTGTAAGACTACAAATGTATTCGATTATTATCCTGCTGGTCTAGTTCGTTCATGAGTTTAGCCTATAACTGAAACATAACATCATGATAAACTGCATCTGAATCTACACTGAGCAAAAATATAAACGCAACAATTTCAAAGATTTTACTGAGTTACAGTTCATATAAGGAAATCAGTCAATTTAAATAAATAAATTGGGCCCTAATCTATGTATTTCATATGACTGGGAATACAAATATGCATCTGTTGGTCACAGATACTGTACCTTAAAAGGGGCGTGGATCAGAAAACCAGTCAGTATCTGGTGTGACCACCATTTGCCACATGAAGCGCGACACATCTCCTTCGCATAGAGTTGGTCAGGCTGTTGATTGTGGCCTGTGGAATGTTGTCCCACTCCACTTCAATGGCTGTGCAAAGTTGCTGGATATTGTCTGGAAAGGGAACACGTTGTCGTACACGTCGATCCAGAGCAATGGGTGACATGTCTGGTGAGTATGCAGGCCATGGAAGAACTGGGATATTTTCAGCTTCCAGGAATGGTGTACAGATCCTTGCGACATGGGGCCGTACATTTTCATGCTGACACGAGGTGATGGCGGCGGATGAAAGGCATGACAATGGGCCTCAGGATCTCATCACGGTATCTCTGTGCATTCAAATTGCCAACAATTATATTGTGTTTGTTGTCCGTAGCTTATGCCTGCCCATACCATAACCTCACCGCCACCGTGGGACACTCTGTTCACAACGTTGACATCAGCAAACCGCTCGCCCACATAATGCCATACACGTGGTCTGCCATCTGCCCGGTACGGTTGAAACCGGGATTCATCCGTGAAGAGCACACTTATCCAGCGTGTCAGTGGCCATTGAAGGTGAGAATTTGCCCACTGAAGTCTGTTACAACACCCAACTGCAGTCAGGTCAAGACCCTGGTGAGGACGACGAGCACGTAGATGAGCTTCCCTGAGACGGTTTATGACAGTTTGTGCAGAAATTATTTGGTTAAGCAAACCCACAGTTTCATCAGCTGTCCGGGTAGCTGGTTTCAGACGATCCCGCAGGTGAAGAAGCCGGATGTGGAAGTCCTGTGCTGGCATGTTTATTTTTTATTGTGACTTTTTTGGGGGTACTTTTTACCCCTTTTTCGTGACATCCAATTGGTAGTTACAGTCTTGTCCCATCGGAAGCCTGCCGCACCAATGTGTCGGAGGAAACACCCTACAACTGGCAACCGTGTCAGCGTGCATGCGCCCGGCCAGCCACAGGAGTCGCTAAAGTGCTAACCTAACCCGGACGACGCTGGGCTAATTGTGCGCTGCCTCATGGGTCTCCCGGTCGCGGCCGGCTGCGACACAGCCCGGGATCAAACCCGGATCTTTAGTGATGCCTCAAGCACTGCGATGCAGTGCCTTGGACCACTGCGCCACCCGGGAGGCCTGGGCTGGTGTGTTTATACGTGGTCTGCTGTTGTGAGGCTGGTTGGACGCACTGCCAAATTCTCTAAAACGACGTTGGAGGCAGCTTATGGTAGAGAAATTAACATTAAATTCTCTGGCAACAGCTCTGGTGGACATTTCTGCAGGCAGCATGCCAATTACACACTCCCTCAATACTTGAGAGATCTGTTCCATTGTGTTGTGTGACAAAACTGCAGTGGCCTTTTTACAGTGGCCTTTTATTGTCCCCAGTACAAGGTGCACTTGTGTAATGTGCATGCTGTTTAATTAGCTTCTTGATATGCCACACCTGTCAGGTGGATGGATTAGCTTGGCAAAGGAGAAATGCTCACTAACAGGGATGTAAACAAATTTGTGCACAAAATGAGAGAAATAAGCTTTTTGTGCGTATGGAATATTTCTGGGATCTTTTATTTCAGCTCATGAAACATGGGACCAACACTTTACATGTTGCGTTTATATTTTTGTTCAATATACACCTCAATAAAGAAAGCGTCCTGGGAATTTAATTTAATTTGTTTCATTTACATCCATAGTGGGAAGATCTATGCCGATTACCATCAAAGCCTCCTGTTAATGGATATTAGCTAAACAAACGGAGGAGGATGGTGGATGGACTATGTTCAAACAGCTCAGGTTATTAACTCTGGCTAATGAAGGTAGTTGATTTGGATTTCACTGAAGTGTTTAGTCACAATATTGCTCTGCTTAACATTAACACATACAAAAATACAGCCCATAGCGTAACCTACACACCTACAACATGGGTCTAGACAACCCTCCTTAACCTCCAAACATGGACATGAGAATAGACAGAGAACATTCCATAGATACTGCTCCCTATCAACAAGTACAGTATTCTTGGCAGTTTGTCATGTCTCTCTCTCTCTCTCATTGTAATACAGCAGTTGTGTATATCCTTGCCTGACCTTTCTCTCCCTCAATTACTTACAGTATTTACTATTTTAAAGCTCAGCCAGTAACCTCACCTCAGCTAATAGGAGATGAGCGCTCCAAGAGAAGGTATTGGTTTGGGGAGTTAGCTCGCTAACCCTCTTTGTAGATATTGTAGCAAACCCTCCATGTAGCTAGCTCGCTAACCATCCTTTTAGCTACTGTAGCTCGCTAACCCTCCTTGTAGCTACTGTAGCTCGCTAACCCTTCTTGTAGCTACTGTAGCTCGCTAACCCTCCTTGTAGCTAGCTCACTAACCCTCCTTGTACTCTGATTGATTTCCACTTTGACAATACAGCATACATTCAGCCCCCTCACCCCCTCTCTACCCTCCTCTCACCCCGACGCGGAGGTCTCTTTGGAAGCGGGAAAAGCCTGCGGAGGTTCTCTTTAATCATTCTAAAGCTTTATTGATGTCATTGAGGTGGTTGACTGTGTTGCCCCACAAAGACACTCCAGCAGGAACACCGAGGTCTCAGAGGCACAACTACTAGACATGAAACACCCAGAAGAAGAAGATGATATAATTACTTCATATGGTTACTTATCTCTTGAGCTGTCAGTGGAATTGATGCAGTAACATTAGGTGGCCACTGGCCAAGTTCTAACCCCTATGGGACCCCCGAGGACCCCAAGAGGACAACCTATGGCTCAATGTACTGATTATTAATCTACTGTGCCTTCAGAAAGTATTCACACCCCTTGACCCCTTGTCACTGGCCTACACACACACACACACACACAATACCACCATGTCAAAGTGGAATTGTTTTTTTTACACAATACCTGTTAGTAAAGGTGTTAGCTAAAGATGATGTGCAGAAGCTTTCAGGGATTTGTAGTCTTGCATGATGTCTACTTTGATGCAAATTAGCATTTTTGAGTCTGAGTAAATAGAGCCGAATATATTGATGAAAGTCACCTTGTCCAGTGAATTTCAAACACAGATTCAACCACAAAGATAGGGAGGTTTTCCAATGCCTCACAAAGAAGGCCACTGATTGGTAGATAAAAAAAACAGACATTGAATATCCCTTTGAGCATGGTGAAGTTATTATTTACACTTTGGATGGTGTATCAATACACAGAGTCACTACAAACATACAGTGGGGAGAACAAGTATTTGATACACTGCCGATTTTGCAGGTTTTCCTACTTACAAAGCATGTAGAGGTCTGTAATTTTTATCATAGGTACACTTCAACTGTGAGAGACGGAATCTAAAACAAAAATCCAGAAAATCACATTGTATGATTTTTAAGGAATTAATTTGCATTTTATTGCATGACATAAGTATTTGATACATCAGAAAAGCAGAACTTAATATTTGGTACAGAAACCTTTGTTTGCAATTACAGAGATCATACGTTTCCTGTAGGTCTTGACCAGGTTTGCACACACTACAGCAGGGATTTTGGCCCACTCCTCCATACAGACCTTCTCCAGATCCTTCAGGTTTCGGGGCTGTCGCTGGGCAATACGGACTTTCAGCTCCCTCCAAAGATTTTCTATTGGGTTCAGGTCTGGAGACTGGCTAGGCCACTCCAGGACCTTGAGATGCTTCTTACAGAGCCACTCCTTAGTTGCCCTGGCTGTGTGTTTCGGGTCGTTGTCATGCTGGAAGACCCAGCCACGACCCATCTTCAATGCTCTTACTGAGGGAAGGAGTTTGTTGGCCAAGATCTCGCGATACATGGCCCCATCCATCCTCCCCTCAATACGGTGCAGTCGTCCTGTCCCCTTTGCAGAAAAGCATCCCCAAAGAATGATGTTTCCACCTCCATGCTTCACGGTTGGGATGGTGTTCTTGGGGTTGTACTCATCCTTCTTCTTCCTCCAAACACGGCGAGTGGAGTTTAGACCAAAAAGCTCTATTTTTGTCTCATCAGACCACATGATCATCCAGATGGTCATTGGCAAACTTCAGACGGGCCTGGACATGCGCTGGTTTGAGCAGGGGGACCTTGCGTGCGCTGCAGGATTTTAATCCATGATGGCGTAGTGTGTTACTAATGGTTTTCTTTGAGACTGTGGTCCCAGCTCTCTTCAGGTCATTGACCAGGTCCTGCCGTGTAGTTCTGGGCTGATCCCTCACCTTCCTCATGATCATTGATGCCCCACGAGGTGAGATCTTGCATGGAGCCCCAGACCGAGGGTGATTGACCGTCATCTTGAACTTCTACCATTTTCTAATAATTGCGCCAACAGTTGTTGCCTTCTCACCAAGCTGCTTGCCTATTGTCCTGTAGCCCATCCCAGCCTTGTGCAGGTCTACAATTTTATCCCTGATGTCCTTACACAGCTCTCTGGTCTTGGCCATTGTGGAGAGGTTGTAGTCTGTTTGATTGAGTGTGTGGACAGGTGTCTTTTATACAGGTAACGAGTTCAAACAGGTGCAGTTAATACGGGTAATGAGTGGAGAACATGAGGGCTTCTTAAAGAAAAACTAACAGGTCTGTGAGAGCCGGAATTCTTACTGGTTGGTAGGTGATCAAATACTTATGTCATGCAATAAAATGCAAATTCATTACTTAAAAATCATACAATGTGATTTTCTGGATTTTTGTTTTAGATTCCGTCTCTCACAGTTGAAGTGTAGCGATGATAAAAATTACAGACCTCTACATGCTTTGTAAGTAGGAAAACCTGCAAAATCGGCAGTGTATCAAATACTTGTTCTCCCCACTGTACAGGTGTCCTTCCTAACTCAGTTGCCAGAGAGGAAGGACACCACTCAGGGATTTCACCACGAGGCCAATGGTGACTTTAAAACAGTTAGAGTTTAATGGCTGTGACAGGAGAAAACTGAGGATGGATCAACAACATTATAGTTACTCCACAATACTAAACTAAATTACAGGGTGAAAAGAAGGAAGCCTGTACAGAATTAAAATATTCCAAAACATGCATCCTGTTTCCAATAAGGCACTAAAGTAAAGCTACCAAAAAAATTGGCTATGAAATTAACTTCATGCAAAGCATTATGTTTGGAGCACAAGTTACTATCACGGGCAAGACTCACCATGTGGAGGTTGTCCCTCAAATATCATCTGACTAACAGCAGAATGCAGATATGGATGTGGCCAGAGTTTTTCCAGGTCTGTAACTCGGTTAGGTCAAACTCCTGGCCATATGTATAACCCACCCCTGAGTGTGACCCGGAAGTAAAACCCTGTGAGTAGGGAGTAAACAGGAAGTGAACTCACCCTCTCCTCCTCCTCCCTGAGGTCGGGCATGGTACTGATGCAGAGCGTTACTGTGGTGATGGCCACAAACACCACCGACAGGCAGGCAAAGATCTTTCCAGGTAGTCCAGATTGAGGGTTCTCCACCATGTCGTGGAGCCTGCGCATACACCCCGCCATGCGGCTCTCCTCCTCCTCCCCCCCCCACTCCGGGGGGCCCCTGCCCATCCTCACAGCTCTGGGGGGTCAGGGTGGTGGTGAGCTCTGCCTCCTCCTCCTCCATCCTCAGCTGCTCCTTGAGCTCCTCCTGTCTGATGCGTAGCTTCCGGAGGCAGCACCACTCCAGCCTGGTGTCCTCCACGCCCCAGTAGACAAGCTCCTCCTGGAAGGACAGAGCACACATCTCCCTTAGCAGCCGCAGCCGCCCTGCCGCCAGGAACGTCACGATGGTGCGGAACGCAGATGGGCTGCGATCGAAGAAATACTCCTGGCACCCGTCGTCGTAGTCGTCACACACCTCCATGATCTCGTCCAATGAGCTGCAGCCCCTCAGCCGGCCCAGCCGCGTCAGAGGGAACTCCTCCAGAACGGACCAGGGGATACGGTACCTGGTGGGAGAGGAAAACACACAATGTTAACGCTGCACAACTACTTCGCACAATAGTCACTGAAATACTCTTCAAGTTATAATGCTCTTTAGCAGCAGCAAGACCTGTGCCCGGTTTATATCCCTTTAAAACCTTGCACCCAAAGACTTCTGATTATGGACTATTGGTTATCGAGCTGAACACGCCAACTCTTGATTCTGTTGATATGGTACCTGATCCCGCCTACGTTGATGACGGCTGATAGGTCGTTCTCCTCCTGCCCCTCGTTGGGCCTCCGCAGCAGCCGCTGCCGCTTGAAGAACACACCCTTCTTAGTAACCACCTCCTGCTGGTTCTCCAGGGGGAAGTGGAAGGGTGTGAACTCTTTCTCCGTGCTGCCTGCTAGGAAGGCCACCTCCTGGTACATTCCTGCTGCTCCTCTGGAGGACCCAGGAGGTCCTGGTTGGGAGGTGAGGGGTGGGGAGTTTCACTGGCCGACTGGGTTGGCTGGGACGTCACCCATCCAGGAGCAGGGCTGGTCTCTATGGAAATAAAGCAAAGGAAAGAAAGTTCAGACATTTTTTAAGTTGACTTCCACTGGTTTATTGGGACGAATTACTTCAGAATCTCAGGGTGAACCAGATTCAAGTCACTCTTCAGGCTCCATTTCTTTTCTCTCTCATCACACCCCAACAAGTCATCAACAAGTCATCAGCAGGAACCCCGATGCAGAGAGAGGAATTTGTTAAGTTGTTGTGGTAGTTAATGCATCGCTGAGGCCCTAAATTAGCGCTTCTCTTTAAAGGATTGTTTTTCAAGGTTCACTAAATGACAATAAATACAGAGCAATTAGCTGTGGAACGTCGACAAAAAAAAAGAACAAACAGGTTGGATATACTTGGTAAAACTTCCCGTGATGAATCTTTCATGGGCCATTGACTTTCTCTATGACAACAGAAAACTGTCAATTAATTCTGCAGCAACATAGATTTTTACATCAGTAAGCTTCAGCTGATGAAACAAACCTCTAAAATGTGGCACTTTCCAATGGCACCTTCCAGTCTTAAAACTGACAGAATGCAGCTCTGCGTAGCGAGGGTTAAATGATTCATACAAAGCCAAATTAGATCACAGTGAACTACTGTCAGCCACAATACTCCTCTTCATGATGCAGCAGCACACTAAAACTTTCATCAGTTTCATTCACGAGAATGTTCTGAACCTCAAAACAGGACACATTGTGACTGTTGGTGAATAAGAGGAAACTACACACACACACACACACACACACACACACACACACACACACACGCACAATGAACAAAAATATAAACGCAACCATTTCAAAGATTTTACTGAGTCAGTTCATAAGGAAATCAGCCAATTGAAAGAAATTCATTAGGCCCTAATCTATGGATTTCACATGACTGGGAATACAGATGCAGTTGTTGGTCACAGAAACCTTTAAAACAAAAGAAGGGGTGTGGATCAGAAAACCAGTCAGTATCTGGTCTGACCACCATTTGCCTCATGCAGCGCGACATATATCTCCTTCGCATAGAGTTGATCAGGCTGTTGATTGTGGCCTGTGGAATGTTGTTCCACTCCTCTTCAATGGCTGTGCGAAATTGCTGGATATTGGTGGGAACTGGAACACGCTGTCGTACACATTGATCCAGAGCATCCCAAACATGCTCAATAGGTGACATGTCTGGTGAGTATGCAGGCCATGGAAGAACTGGGACATTTTCAGCTTCCAGGAATTGTGTACAGATCCTTGATACATGGGGCCGTACATGATCATGCTGAAACATGAGGTGATGGCGGCGGATGAATGTCACGACAATGTCACGGTATCTCTGTGTATTCAAATTGCCATCGATAAAATTAAATTGTGTTCATTGTCTGTAGCTTATACCTGCCCATACCATAACCCCACTGACACCATGGGGCACTCTGTTCACAACGTTGACATCAGCAAACTGTTCGCCCACACGACGACATACACGCTGTCTGCAATCTGCCCGCTACAGTTGAAACCGGGATTCATCCGTGAAGAGCACACTTCTCCAGCATGCCAGAGGCCATCGAAGGTGAGCATTTGCCCACTGAAGTCCGTTACGACGCCGAACTGCAGTCAGGTCAAGACCCTGGTGAGGACAACGAGCACGCACATGAGCTTCCCTGAGATGGTTTCTGACAGTTTGTGCATACATATTTCGGTTGTGAAAACCCACAGTTTCATCAGCTGTCTGGGTGGCTGGTCTCAGACGATCCCGCAGGTGAAGAGGCCGGATGTGGAGATCCTGGGCTAGCGTGGTTACACGTGGTCTGCGGTTGTGTGGCCAGTTGGATGTACTGCCAAATTCTCTACGACGTTGGAGGCGGCTTATGGTAGAGAAATTAACATTCAATTCTCTGGCAACAGCTCTGGTGGACATTCCTGCAGTCAGAATGACAATAGCATGCTCCCTCAAAGCTTGAGACATCTGTGGCATTGTGTTGTGTGACAAAACTACACATTTTAGAGTGGCACAAGATGCACCTGTGTAATGATCATGCTGTTAATCAGCTTCTTGATATGTCAAATCTGTCAGGTGGATGGATTATCTTGGCAAAGGAGAAATGCTCACTAACAGGAATGTAAACAAATTTGTGCACAAATTTGAGAGAAATTATCCTTTTGTGCTTATGGAACATTACTGGGATCTTTTATTTCAGCTCATGAAACATGGGACCAACATTTTATATACACACACACACAGAGTATACCAAACATTAGGAACACCTTCCTAATATTGAGTTGCACCTCCCCTTTTTGGCCTCAGAACAGCCTCAATTCGTCGGGGCATGGACTCTACAAGGTGTCTAAAGTGTTCCACAGGGATGCTGGCCCATGTTGACTCCAATGCTTCCCACAGTCGTGTTAAGTGGGCTGGATGTCCTTTGGGTGGTGGACCATTCTTGGTACACACAAGAAACCTTTGAGCATAAAAAACCCAGCAGCGTTGCAGTTCTTGACACTAACCGGTGCACCTGGCACCTACTACCATACCCCATTTTTTGTCTTGCCCATTCACCCTCTGAATGTCTTGCCCATTCACCCTCTGAATGGCACACATACACAATCCATGTCTCAAGGCGTAAAAAAAATGTTGACCCGTCTCCTCCCCTTCATCTACACTGATTGCAGTGGCTTTAACAAGTGACATCAATAAGGGATCATAGCTTTCACCTGGATTCACCTGGTCAGTCTGTCCTGGAAAGAGCAGTTGTTCTTAATGTTTTGTATACTCGGTGTGTGTGTGTGTGTGTGTGTGTATATACACTACCAGTCAAAAGTTTGGACACACCTACTCATTCCAGGGTTTTTCTTTATTTTTACATTGTAGAATAATAGTGAAGACATTAAAACTATGAAATAACACATATGGAATTATGTAGTAACCAAACAAGTGTTAAACAAATCAAAATATATTTTATATTTGAGATTCTTCAAATAGCCACCCTTTGCCTTGATGACAGCTTTGCACACGCTTGGCATTCTCTCAACCAACTTCATGAGATAGTCACCTGGAATGAATTTCAATTAATAGGTGTGCCTTCTTAAAAGTTCATTTGTGGAATTTCTTTCCTTCTTAATGCGTTTAAGCCAATCAGTTGTGTTGTGACAAGGTAGGGGGTATACAGAAGATAGCCCTATTTGGTAAAAGTCCAAGTCCATATTATGGCAAGAACAGCTCAAATCAGCAAAGAGAAACAACAGTCCATCATTACTTTAAGACATGAAGGTCAGTCAATACGGAAAATGTCAAGAACTTTGAAAGTTTCTTCAAGTGCAGTCGCAAAAACCATCAAGAACTATGATGAAACTGGCTCTCATGAGGACCGCCACAGGAATGGAAGACCCAGAGTTACCTCTACTGCAGAGGATAAGTTCATTAGTTACCAGCCTCAGAAATTGCAGCCCAAATAAATGCTTCACAGAGTTCAAGTAACAGACACATCTCAACATCAACTGTTCAGAGGAGACTGTGTGAATCAGGCCTTCATAGTCAAATTGCTGCAAAGAAACCACTACTAAAGGACACCAATAAGAAGAAGAGACTTGCTTGGACTAAGAAACACGAGCAATGGACATTAGACCGGTGGAAATGTGTCCTTTGGTCTGGAGTCCAAATTTGAGATTTTTGGTTCCAACCGCCCTGTCTTTGTGAGACGCGGTGTGGGTGAACGGATGATCTCTGCATGTGTATTTCCCACCGTAAAGCATGGAGGACATGTTATGGTGTGGGGGTGCTTTGCTGGTGACACTATGTAATTTACTAGAATTCAAGGCACACTTAACCAGCATGGCTACCACAGCATTCTGCAGTGATACGCAATCTGGTTTGGGCTTAGCGCGACTATAATTTGTTTTTCCAACAGGACAATGACCCAACACACCTCCAGGCTGTGTAAGGGCTATTTTATCAAGGAGAGTGATGAGTGCTACATCAGATGACCTGGCCTCTACAATCCCCCGACCTCAACACAATTGAGATGGTTTGGGATGAGTCGGACCGCAGAGTGAAGGAAAAGCAGCCAACAAGTGCTCAGCATATGTGGGAACTCCTTCAAGACTGTTGGAAAAGCATTCCAGGTGAAGCTGGTTGAGAGAATGCCAAGCGTGTGCAAAGCTGTCATGATTCCATGTGTTATTTCATAGTTTTGATGTCTTCACTATTATTCTTTAATGTAGAAAATAGTAAAAATAAATAAAAACCCTGGAATGAGTAAGTGTGTCCAAACTTTTGACTGGTACTGTACATATACAGCGCCTTCGGAAAAGTATTCAGACCCCTTGACCTTTTCCACATTTTGTTATGTTACAGCCTTATTCTAAAATGGATTAAATAAAACAATTTCCTCATCAATCTACACACAATACCCGATCATGACAAAGTGAAAACAGGTTTTTAGAACTTTTTGCAAATGTATTAAAAACAAAAAACAGAAATACCTTATTTACGTAAGTATTCTGACCCTTTGCTATGAGACTCGAAATTGAGCTCAGGTGCATCCTGTTTTCATTGATCATCCTTGAGATGTTTCTACAACTTGATTGGAGTCCACCTGTGGTAAATTAAATTGATTGGACATGACTTGGAAAGGCACACGCCTGTCTATATAAAAGGTCCCACAGTTGACAGTGCATGTCAGAGTAAAAACCAAGCCATGAGGTTGAAGGAATTGTCCGTAGAGCTCCGAGACTGGATTGTGTCGAGGCACAGATCTGGGGAACGGCACCAAAATATTTTGCAGCATTGAAGGTCCCCAAGAATACAGTGGTCTCCATCATTCTTAAATGGAAGAAGTTTGGAACTACCAAGACTCTTCCGGAGCTTGCCGCTCGGCCAAACTGAGCAATCGGGGGAGAAGAGCCTT